GGACAGCCCACCAATGGAGAAGCAGGCTTGGAGGGGTCAGTGAGCACCCCACACGTACAGAGGCACTCAGGGAGCAGAGGGGCCAGTGCGGGCTGGGCACAGGTCTCCGGGCCACCTACAAGCCACACCAAGAGGACCAACTCTGTCCTGGAGCAACTGAGGTGTCCTTTCTGACTCTCAGTTTTCTGGACTATAAATTAAGGTGATTAAATGGATGCTTTCAAGGGGAACTGTCAGTTCTCAAAATGCTAATGCCTTCGTATTACCAGGAACGAAGGAACTGGATTCGGCGTGGCAAGAGCACCAGGTCCTGCGAGAACCTTAGCCAGTTCTTTTCACCTTTGGAAACGCTGGCCAGGGGGCATTTCAGTCTGCGGCCACACCATGTCCCCACTTACAGATTATCTGACAGATGCCAGAGCCTTCGTAAACTCTCTGGAATCACTACTATGTTTGACATAAAAGTAAATAAAGAGGGATGAGAAAGAGGGAAAAGGGGATGCTGCCAGGGGTGTGGAATCATGTTGTAAGTTTTAAGAGCACAGCCACTGGAGACAGACTCCCTAAGGGGGGTCCTGGTCTCCCCACTCCCCCTGGACTAGCGATGCAGTGCTGGGAAGTCACACTCTTAGGTTTCAGTTTTCTTGTCAATAAAATGGGAATAATATTCATATGTATTTTATGGGGTTTTGAGGGTTAAATGGCATAATGCCTGTGTTCAGTTAATAAAAAAAGACTGCTAGAGCAACAAGGGAGCGTCAATAGAGGGTTGTGCTGTCCACAGGGGGCCTACCTCGTGCAGAAGCAAAGCTCTCGGGGATGAGGGTCAGTGGGGGGGAACCGTGTACCTACTTCTATTTCTGCCACTAATTTTGTCCCACTTTAGGGAAGCAAAATCTCTTTGCACTGCTGGTACATGAGTCTCTGCCCTTAACAGTATCTGGGCTGATTGGCTGGTGGGCACTGGGCCAGGATTGTGGGACTGTCTTTGCCTAGGGAGAGATGGGCTTATACAGTGCACATGCACCTGTCACCATTACCAGCAGGCCAGCTGTCCAGTGAAACATGCAAAGTGTTTGGTAGAATTCCTAGCACATAAGGATGTCAGTTTGTATCATTAATATCACTTAAAAATATGCATAAAAGAAAAACATTAGAAACTGAATTTTAGTTGTTCTTAAAGTTATGCCAAGTCTCCTGGTGGTCCACCTGCCCCAGGGGCCATCAGCATCGACCCAGCAACAACTGTTAGCCTGGTGGACGTGCTCTCCTGGTGAGCACCTGTCTATCTGACATGGCTGGTCTTAAACTTTCCGCTTCTCCGTGCTGTGCTGTTGAGAGTCTCATTGCATCTTAAGCATTTTTGTAGCATAAGCTCTGTTCTTTATTGAGAACATATAATGTTCCAGGCTCTGAGTTAAACACTTCAGGTAAACATTTGCCAAACCCAGCAAGATCCTCACCCGATGGAGCTTACTTCCCAGTGAGGGGGCTGTACAAGGGCAACAGACATGATAAATGAGGTGCTTTGTCAGCAGGATCCTGCGCTGGCACCTTGGGGGCAACAACACCAGGCAGCCTTCCTCCTTTTCTGGCATCTCGTGGGGACAGATCAGCAGGGGCCCAGAGGGAAAACTGAACGACAAGGAGGGCCAAGGTCATAGGGTTGAGGAGTGGTGACGGGGTTTTCCTGCAACCTTGAGGAATACACAGCGTATATGGGGTAATCGCTGCTGTGCTACAGATGAGGACCTAGGAACCTGGTGGGGGGGTCAAGCCTTGTTCCACTTCTTATTAAATATCCAGCGATCATTCCTTCAAGAAGATTCCAGTCCTTCTGGGAGAAGTTCAAACTCTCAGTAATATCAACAGGCATCAATATTATTAGTAATTATTAGCAATAACAATGATAAATCATAGATAATAATAGTATTATATAACATGATATGGACTCAGAGAGAGACAGAAATAGCCTAAGGAAAAGGGAGGAAAAAATAATGCCAACTCTGGGTGGCAGCAAAACTATCTGCAGAAGGTGGTGACGTAAAAATACCATCTTTCCTCATTTATTGTATCTATTGTGGTTATACTGGTACCTCACCGGGACGCAGGCTCCATCCAGGCTAGGATCTTGCCATATTTAGCAAATGATCATCTCAAGTGCTTGACCCAGAGCCTGGAACATAATAGGTTCTCAGTGAGTATCTGTGGAATGGAAGCATGAATAGTTCCTACCCACTTCCTAAGGATGCCCCGTGCCCTACAGGAGCAAGGAAGTTCCTTTGAAAGGAGACTAACCAATACTGTATATGGAGCAGGGAGGGTCTGGGCATCCCTTCCTGAGAAGGCGACTTGGAGGCGCATGACTGCATAGTCAGTGGGACTCAGTTCAGGGGAGCAGCCCATCCTTCCATGGGCTCCTTTCCCACTGCCACCCCCAGCACAGTGCACTTCACCCAGGGCTTGTGGACTGAACTGGAAGAAATCCACTCGTTGTATTAATCCCAGCTAAAAATCCTAAAAATCACACTGCCCTTCCCTAATTCTCACTTCTTGATTTCACACTCCTTTCTTTTTTCCAAAAACAAATTCAGTCTTTCCTTTTTCTTACTCAGATTCTAAGCAAGCTTTGGAAGCAGGAGCTGAACCTGCATGGTTCAGTGGGTGGTCAGCTATTTGCCAGGCATTGGGCACCCTCTGCAGGCCGTGTGAATCTATGTCTGTGCCATGCTCTGCCCCAGGTGTGCAACCTGGGAGAGATCTCTGCACAGCTGGCTCCCCAGGGCTACTACCCTCTCCACCCCCAGAGAGGACACCCAGGGACTGGGACAGAGCTAGTTAAAGACACCCCAGGCAGCTTGCTTGCATCAGAAAGGGCTCAAGCTGAGCAATCTGTCAGCCAATATTCATTTAGCACCTACTGTGAGCCAAATACCCATTCATTCAATCATTCACTCATCAGTATTTTTTAAAGGTCTTCTAAGTGCCAGGGCACTGGAATTCAGAAGTGGTAAGCATGGCTAAAAACAAAAACAATTCCTGCCTCTGTGAAGCTCACATTAGTGAGGAAAGACAGTCTATGATAAAGAAGGAAAATGGGTGGTGAGTTAGATCATGGGAAGTGCTGAGGAGAAACTGAAGCAGGAAGAGGGGTTAGACAGGGGAGCAGGGAGGCTTTAGATAGGGAAAAACCTTGCTGAGAAGACAATTTTGCAGGAAATACCAGAAGGAGGGAAAGGAACAAACTTTGAAGCTGCTGGAGGAAGGGCACTGGGAAGAGGGAACAGCCAATGTGAAGGCCTCAGAGCAGTAATGTGCTGTGTTGAAGGAACGTAGAGCAGCCTGTGTGTCTAGGAAGGAGAGAACAGGGAGGGACGGAGGTGGTGCAGGGGAGGAAGCAGGTTAGTTGGTCAGGGTGGTGATAAGAGGCCAGATGCCACAAGGTCTTGTAGGTTATTCAAAGGAGGCGATGGAGGGCCTCAGAGACCAGTCCAAGGTCCAAAGTGAACTCAGAGCATTGCTCAGTCACAGTCTCCTCAGCCACAAGACGTGGCTGTAACATGGGCGTGGAGGGTCACTGCTCCCCCACTGACGCTGAGGAAGGTGCCAAGAGGCCTGCAAGGGAGACTGGGAGGGGCTGTTTCTCATTTATTAGCAACGTGATCTGGTCAAACCCTTAAACTCTCTGCACCTTAAGGTTCCACACCCGTCCGACAGTCTTATTTACAGAATTTGGTAAGTGTCCAGTAGGATAATAGCCCAATGGGGTCCTTGTATGATCTGCGATAGCAGCAAGGTGCCCTCACCTGGCAGGTTCCAGACTCTTAATACGTTCCCATAAAATTACAGCTGGATTTAAGTCTTGACTTTGTCACCAAGTATCTTGGAAACAGGTGGTAAATTTCGTAAGCGTCACAGAGTCTCTGTTTCTTTCCATCTAAATTATGGGAAATAATGTCTTTGCCAATTGCGGAGACTCATCTGGAATGATGAACATAACGGCCTTCAAAACAACAGGATATAAAATGGGGAAGACTGTGCCTCGGCTGATGGTTTCAACCAACACTTTTTATTCTAAGTCATGTACCTCTGAACTCCCGTTGTTCAGGGACCTTGGACCTCATTCAGATGCAGTATCAGCGTGGGAGACCAGGACTGGTTCCCAGTGATCCCACGGAGCCTGGCATGGGGCCTCCAAGGCAGCCCAGTCGCCTGTTGTCCCTGTGCCACCAGAGCCCACTCACTTGTGCCCCTTTTGCAGTGACTTGGCCCCTTGTTCTGGCTCAGTCTCTTCCCAAAGGCCTGACACTCACTACATTCTCCAGTTTAGATTCCAGACATGCTGATTGTTTCTCCATTCCCGCTCTTCTGTCACAGGTCACTGGCCAGTCTACAGAAGCTCTGCCCTTGGCTCAGCTGTCCACCCAGTCCTCTGAGCTGCGGCCAGTGGGAGAGGATTCAGTGGTGTGGACCCAATGCCACACCAGCTTCAGGAATGCGCGTGGGCTCCTTTTCCAGAGGGCAGCGTGGTGTGAGGTGGGCAAAGGGAGTGGCAGTCATCACGGACCTTTTAGAACAGCAGAAGCAAAGCACACTCGTGCCCACCATGGATCTTCTAAACAAACTCAGCCCTGCTGCCGCACAGGAACACATCCCACCAGAGGTGTTTGGGATGAGCAGCTCTGATTGTTAGTAAGTCTGAGTAACTGGGGTGCAATGAACAGAGAAATGAAGACCCAGGTCTCCTGGGCACTCGAGGGCACATCCGTTCCCCGCCCTGATCCTCTCAGACCCGCTTTGGAGCTCCCCCACGGCTCGGTTCAGCCGCCCCAGGACACCCCGGGCCCTTCCCATAGTGTGCATCCCAGAATAACCCCAAACTCCAGATGTCCTCTGGCCCAGTGTAGAAATGATTCCTTCATTCCTAAAGAGTGGCTACTGTACATTCTAAAACACAAAGTCTTGGCAAAAGAAAGTCAAAGGATTTTATTATTATCATTTGTCTTTTACACACATTACAAGCCACACAAATGCCAACTAGAGAGCAAATATAGAAAAATAGGACGATTATATTGGCGCTAGTGATTTTGTTATCATTTTGTTTTACAGATGATTTGCAAGGGTGTGTGGGAGGCTGTAATTATTGTATATAGTTATGGTCGCCAGAATAAACAAGCATTAGGAATTCACAGTGGCATCAAGCTATGCATTCAAGGTCTTTTTCAGAGGAAGGAACCATAACCAATGACCCTACCTCTCACATGTGACAACTAAGCTAGAATAAAATAAAATAGATTCCAGAGCCTTCCACTGTATGATCAATAAACATAAGCAAGCCACAGACTAGTTCTCTTGGTCAAATCTGAGTGTGGTAATTATTATGGACACTACAGGGTGCCTTCATTTGTTTCATAATCTATTTTTTATCTATTAGTTTAGAAAGAAATAGAAATATTAGTCACGGAGATCCACTGACTTTCTACTACAGACAGGTTATATGTCACTCAGAAGGTGGTGTTTCTTGATGGGTTGGCCTGTAATCTGCACCATTCAGCTTCTCCTTTTGTGAATTTCATAACCTGACACTGATCGGGAGGTGGTAGCCCCAATGAAGCTTTGAAGACCTACCTGAGTGGTCTGGCTGAGATCACAGTGGCATCTCATCTGGACTATTTTTCTGCTCCTAGACCCTAAAGGGACATCAAAACCCCAATACCCAGAGTGTTATTTGTTTTAAGGAGTGCTGAGATAATGATATTCTCAATGTTTCCCACCTGTTCTCTCGATTGGTTATTCTATGTGAACATTCTTCTATTTATGTGGGTGTCTGCTGCGCCCACTAGATGATACGCTTTTGAATGGCAGGGTCCCATCTGATTAATTTCTGTAGCCACCAGTGCTTAGCACAGAACCAGGCAGAGACAAAAAATCAGTTTAAAAGGAAATACACTCAAGTGTAAATTATGGGAAAATTATACTGAAGTGAAAAATCACTTTGATATTCAGTTACATGCAGAGAAGACAATTTGTGGGACAAAGTGAGGTGCTCTCTTTAAAGGAAAATGTTAAAAAAGGAAACAAGCAAAGTATATGCATAGGTTGTCAGACATACCTGTATTATTTTTAAACTTCCTCACAGCCAGAAGGATGAAGCTGGGTATTTTACCATATGCAGTAAGTTTAACCTTGGATTAGCTGAAGAGCATTTCAAGATGTTTTTTCAGTTTGATGCAATTGAGAGATTCTGAGTGACGTTTACAGACTTCAAACTTCCAGTCACCTTAAATCAGATGTAGTGTTGTTCTCAGCTGTATGTCAAGTTTCCACCTTCTTTCAACTCAGCTTAACAACTGTACCCTGAGCAGCAAAATCATTTTACTACTTAGACCATCCAGTCATGCACTGAACTGAGCTGGAAAACTCCAGCTTCAAGAGTCCTGAAATCATAGCAGAATGTTCTGAATGCTGGAAACCAAGGCTTAAAGTTTCAAACAAGAGGACCTTCTTTAAGCCACCATGCATGAATCACTTAGAAGCCATGTATAAAATTACTTAATTTATTACAAAGAAAATGCCCTACAGCCAAACCTTTCTATAAAATATTCCTAAGCTATGCCCCCAAATTTTAAAATGCCTACCCTACATAGGCCCTGTTCCAGACAGTCTACTACTTTTCCTTTCTTATCCACACCCTCACAACTGCCTTTCAAAATAGATTATTTTCAAATCTACTTGACAGATGAAGAAATTTGACTCTTGGTCCACTGGCTTGAAAGCGTGGCCTTGAGATGTAGTGACATTTCATTACACTTTACAGAAAACTACCACCATGGTGTCCAAGCTCACGAAACGACTTTCCTCTTTGCAAATTCAGAAGCCTAGTCAGAAACATGAACCAACGTCAAACCCTTTCTGCATTAGAATCAGCTGCTAGAGATGGGCTGAGAAACCAAAGAAAACACAAGCTTTCAAAGAACTGGCCTGCTAGCAAATACTTACTGAACCCCAAAATCTGTGCCAAGCAATTGGGGGGTAGCAGGGACACACTGATACATTAGACATGGTTCCTGTTCTCAAGGAATACATGTGCACAGGCGGGAGGCCTACAAGGACAGACAAAAACATCTCTGATGGCAAGTCATGGAGCTGACTCATCCTGAAGCAGGAATCTATGATCCACGGACCACTTTGTGCGGTTTCAAAAACTATAGTACAGGGAATTGCCTTCTGGATGAATATTCCGATCTTCACGGCAGCAAGGGAATAGCAGAAAGAGATGGTAGATGGAGGAGCATGGTCTAGGGCAGCTATGGAAAGAAAGGGGAAAGAGGCTTTGGGCTTGTAGAAGAAATCCTGAGACACAGTGATTGAGATGCACAGAGGATCAGCTGAGAGCAGAACAAGAGAGCCGGTTACCCAGTTCTAAGTACTGGCCACGCTTTATAAACCACCTCTGTGGTCCCTTCCCATCTGAGTTATTGGTAACATAGGTGTCTCACAGGAATACGTTATAATAGAAAGCTTATAAGGTTATGGCTTAGGAGATGAAGACTTGAACCCTGGCATTGATTTTAACAAGATGTGTGACTGTTGCAATTTATTAACTTGTCTGGGCTGGAGAAATCACAGCGTAACAGATAAAATAGAGGCTCCGGGCTCAAATCTTGACTCCACTGTTGCTAAGCTGTATGGACTCAGTCAGTTACTGACTCCTCCCAGCACCATTTAGGTACTGTGTGGGTTTTAAAGATTAAATGAAATAATATATGCAAAATCATATCAACAAAAGCTGAGCATTGTATGTTACTTCCAGTCCGTTAGTCCTTCAGTCTATTAAAAATGAGACACAGTCCAGGTCTGCTCCACCTCTGAAAGTCTCTGCGTCTATGTAGAGTCATAACATGATGGGTTTGGAGGACTGTTTTAAAGCCACATTATCATAAGCACATCTGTGAGATGAAGACACACATTCTCTACTTTGTAATTTGGCTGTGAAAAGATCAAGGATAGGAAACAATCTGATTTAGAGATTAACAAAGCATGTGACTGAGCAACATCCATGCGTTGGCATTTGGTCTTGAACTCCAGTTCCATGTCATTAGACATCCCTCTGTGTGACCGAAGGCCCTGAGACCCTGGGCCCTAAAATAAAAATTGGCTTGCAGAGCTCAGCGCACTGAAAAGTAAAGTGCATTATTACCATTCAACATGAAATGACATGGGAAGAGTTCGGGATTTTTTTCCTCAATTTTCAGTGGTGCTTTCTGCTGAGATCTCTCTAGCATTAGGTGTCAATGCTATGGTACCACAGAAAATAAAGCCAAAATAAAGAAAAAGTACCACACACACACATCACACACACAAAGGAAGAAAGGACGGGATACAGAAAGACTTGGGAAGGCACATTAAAGCAGCCATGAAAAATCTTCATGGGGGCAGCTCTTTACCTTCACGGGAAAAGCATGCATGTATGGCCGTCTACAATGTCAGCACCCTGCACTCTTGCTGGTCACGTGTAGATGGAGACCCATGTGGTCAAGAGGAGGTTGGCGAAACGTAGCTCAGGACGCTAACATCAATAGACTCTGGATTAAACATCCATTGTTCCTCTTCCAATTCTGAGATGCCATGACTTTAATTTAAAAACTAACAGTTAAAAATAAAACACTAAGTATTATTAGTGTTTAGATCATTTTGGTATGTAGGAGTATATAATTTATGTTAATATTCCCATAGTCTAGTACAGTACCCAGCACAGAACAGATACTCAATAAAACAGGGTAAGAGTAAGTGAATGAAACAATAGGAAAGAAACCAAACCAACCCAGATGTTAGCATATGGAGCTTTGCCTCCATCCATCAAACAACAGCAGACACCCTTCCTAAGGGGATTGGATGGAGACCTTGCGAGGAAGCACAACCCTTCTATGTGTTTGTCGCTACACCGGTTACACAACCTGGGCAACTGTCTGTGGCAGCCTTGGTCAGGGCTCACGCTCAGAAGCAGACTCTGCGACGGCAAAGCAGAGCTCTGCAAAAGAGAAGCGGCAGGTGTCTGGGGGGCTTGCAACTACCTAAGGGCAGCCTTTCAATTCGATAGCCAGGTCTTGGGAGACCTGTCAGCGTCTTACAGCTGAGTGCTCTGGTGGGTCCTGGCACTGTTCAGTGTGTTTATCCTTCACAGAAAAGCCTGAGTCGCACGCTGCCATTCCCGATCTGCTCTCTCCCACGTCGGGGAGGGGCCGCTCACGGCTCTTTCTGAACCTGGCCTTTCCCACACTCACCATCCCCGTGGCTGTCTGATCGCCTCACTCCCCTCCCATTTCACTCCATCAGGACAGGCTGCTTTGTGTGTGTGTGTTTGCTCGAGGACCAGTACCGGGCTCAAGACAGCCCATCAGCATGTATCTGTACTCAGTGAAGGCCTGTAGTTTGGAGCAAGTCAGCTCAACCTCATGAGGCTGTAAACTGAGGATTAAATAAATTCCTTTCCTGTGTGAAAGTGACATTGATCCAAGAGGAGTTAGTGTGTTGACCCCAAATACTAACACAGAAATCGCACTTGATCACTTCCGTGCAGAAAAAATAAAAAGAAATAGTTAACAATAATAACAATTCTAACTGAACCTCTGTCCCCTCTGCTTGGCCATTGATGTGACGCTCTGGCTTTCACCATGGAAAGCCTCAAAGCCACGCCCACCCTGCTCCCCAGAAGGACATTTCAGGAGTGGGTGGTGGTGACGCTCTATGGCCCTGGGCTTCTTACAGACAGGAGGGCCAGACCTGCCCCACGCACCGATCCTGGAGGCCCTGTGAGTGGAAATGTTCCCACTGGTGTTAACGGTGGAGATTTCCTTCTGAAATGAAGAGGAAACCCAACCTGTTGGCTGACCTCTCACCCCTCCTGTTTTTCTCTCTTGCCCCCAACTGTGGTCTTTGTCTGCCCCCCAGTGCACTAGAGGACCCTGGCCCCCCACCCAGCCAGCCTCACTCAGCCTTTGCATCGGGCTTAGACACCATCTTCCACAAGGCCTTTTCTGACTGCCCTGACCACGTGCTGCCCCACACGTCCAGTGCAGGCCACCTGTCCCTCCTCTGAGCACCCACAAGATCCCACCACTGCCACGGTACCTACGTGACCTTCCCACTTACTGGCTATCTTCCTTGCTGGGCTGTGAGCGACTGAACCTGGCACACACAAGGCTCTCCACACTTACTTGTTGAATGAATGAATGAACGAACTGATGAACAAACACACTGGGTGGTGGCAGGCTGTGCAAAGCTAACACTCCCTCCTCAGCCTTGAGGCAATGAAGGCTGGACCCCTAGGGTGGCCCTGCACCTGCCCCTGGCTCATCAAAGCCCTCTTTACATCACAACGTAACAGCACCCCTGGATCGTCCTTGTGTTCTTTGAGGGCAGGGACTGTGCGTTTTAACTCTGTGCTCCTACCTGGCACAGGGGGATGCTGGCCAGCAAATCTGCGTGGATTCTAGAAACTAATAGGAGACTGCTCTCTCCCCATCTTCCCAGCACTCCAGCTGCTTCCGACCCACCACTGAGGTATTTATTTGGCCCCACAGCGCCTTTAGATTCATATCTGCTTCTCCAGATATATTTGGCCTATCAACAACAATTGTCAACTAATCTCAATATTGGTAATTTTTATTTCTGACTAGTTCTGAGAAACTTAACAAATCATAAAAAAAAGAATTATGCTGAGAATGAAGACATACTAGACCATTATCTTGGCAGGCGTGTTATTTATAATTTGTATACTCAATAATAGAATGTCCCTATTTTACATTATATATATATTTATGTGTATATATATATATATATTAGATATCTGTACTTAAATAGAAAGAGACATAAAAAAGCCTTTTCAAATGAGGCATGACATATAACACCTGACACTCTTATTTACAATAGAGATGTACCTTCTACACAATTGTAATAGATGCTCAGAGGCCAGAGAGGGTTTACAAAGACAGCAGAGCACCCCTGTAAAAAAGGGGTGCACCATGCAGCTGGACATTTATTGCCATTAGTTCTCACTATGTCCAGACAGCATATTGAAGTTAAAAATGGCATCTGGGTATTGGAAAAGACAAAGATCATCAGATTCACCCTGGTTCCATAACCGCTGGCTGCACGGTCTTTCGAGTGACCAGGAAAGGACATACTTTGCTGATGGGAACTGGAAACACACAATGAACTACTCTCATCAGAGGGGCAGGGCTCCCCACTGGGCCAAAAAGCAGCAGCATTACAAACGTGTGATCCTGCACTGAGCACGGGCCCTGGTCCAGCAGGAGCCATCCCAGGCCGCATCCCAGGAACGAGACTCCCCCTGGATTACACAGCCATCCGCCCAGTTCACCAATAACCAGAGTCTATGCCCATCAGGAACTCGGAAACATACCCAGGGGAAAGCAACCAGAGGACTTAATGCTCCTGGACAGGTTAAAACTAGGATACAATGAAAGTTCAAAGAAGACCTGCTGATAAACCCTTCAAGTTGTGTGCTGAAGGCTGGCTGCCTTTGCACACACTCCACCCACTTCTATCTTAAGAAATCCACGAGTCTCTGTGCTGCAAAGCTGCCTACCAGGACTTATTTCTCATGGTCCGCATTTGCTTTGCAGTCATACTGCTAATATGTGAGAAACTAAAATTGTCAGATAAGCTATTTACTTGTGGGTTTTTGTTGGTTTGTTTTGACCATGAGATTGGTGACCTAAGGTCTCGGTCCAGGTGCTGGGCCCAGGAATCTGGTCCCAGGTGAATCTTCACACTTTGGAAGGGAATTTTGCAGAAGAAGGAGCTTTTGCCTCCAGAAGAAGCGTATCCCACATGCATTCCTTCAGTAAATCAGGATTTAAACCATTCTCTGGGCTTCCTGGAGCCCACATAGTGTTCTCAAACTTTGGGACCATATTAAGCATCCTGGTGGTTTTCAAAACTCCCCTTATGTCAATTACCCATAACAGTTTAAGTTGGGTCCTCCACCCGAATACTGTTTTCCTCTGATCTCACTGCTGACCCTGTTATCTCCTGTTTTTATCAACAGTGACCTTTCCTAGCCCTTTGTTTTCCTAAGGCAAGAAGACATTTCTATTGAAAAATAACCAGCACCCTTCTTAGAGCTCCCCTGAGGTTTGTAATCCAGCACCCCTCCATTTAGATGTCTTTCTCCTTTCTTGGAGAGGAGAAGCAGCTGGCCATGTTAATAGTTTTGGTTTTTTGCAGTTGCATGTAGAAGACATGCTACCACAGCATGTCTTTGCAAGTCCGTCAGCAGGAGCGTCATACGTGTGTGCGTTAATCTCAGTGCCCCCTTCCACTAGGCTGAGTCTAAACCAGTCTTCCCCATTAAAGACAGAGATTTAAGCAATCACAAAAATAATGTGTGGAGACAATATCTGAAGAAGTAGGTGGTCAACTGCTCCCTCTAGTTACTTCAGGTGGCAAGGAACATGCCTTTTTGCCAACAGCATCACCTTTATCCCTCCATACCTTAAACCACCCAACTCACGGCTGCTAGGAAATACAAGTGGGCTTCATCAAGCTTCCTTTGCCCCTTGTTGAGAAAACATGAGGGAGGATGAGAGCGTGGGCATCACACTGTCTCGACCAAGTGGCACATTTTAACCTGTTAAGGTTAGATTTACACAAATATGTTCCGCTTCTGCACAGAGGTTAACCTGAGTTCTGAAATGCTTGTGTGCACTTAAGTTAATCAAAAATGATAAAGCTATGAGCTAGTAACATACTGGACAAATCTAGTAAACTTGGAGCCTTCTATCTGTGAGCCAGTGGTGGTTAAAAAGGTGGGCTCACCAACGCCAAGCATTCTGTTTCTTTTTCTCATGTGTTGTTCCCAGCAAGCATCTTGAATGAGACTCCAGTAGCTAGGCAGGTTTAGGCAGTCTGTTGTTTTCTACACCGTTAGTTGAGCTTCTCCAAATCTCTGACATGAAAGCACCTTGGATGTCTCGTCCCCCCGCTCCAGCCCTCAGCGCCTTCCTCTCTGAGCCCCACCCAGAATGGCAGAGGTCTACACAAGGATGTCTCAGCTAAAGTCTCATCGGTCTTAAACCTTTCCGTGAGCTCCCTCAAAGCCACTACTTGAAGTAGTTGAGTCCTGCCACCAAGAAGAACTTCTCCAGGAAGAGCTCTGAGTCCAGCACAGCGATGTGAGCCGCTCGGCCAATCAGGGTGTTGGCAGTGTTGGGCAAGGCGTGGAACACGTTGTGTCGGATTAAAGTGCAGTCCTTGGCTTCCACCAGAGGGCGGAGAAGGTTGTTGATCATTTCTGCGTAAACGGGCCCTGCAAAGACACGAGGTCCACGGAGAAGTTAGCAGAGGAGACCAGAACAAACAAACAAAGAACACTGGGTGTGTGCTGGGTTCCCATTCCTGGGCAGAACATCTCAGGGATCCTTATAGTCCATCTCATAAATTTACTTCTGCTTTTTAAATCAGAAATTTGCTTAAAAAATTAAATGCAGCTTACCTGTGTGTCTGTCTTTGAGGGCAGTTTTACACATTTCGATCCTGGCTGAATGAAATGGCACATAGCGGTCTTGGGGAGAAGCGACCAGCACGACGTTTTTAAAATACTGCAGACCTGCAACAAGGCAGCGGGAGGGGCAGGCCTTGTACCCAGGTAGTTTCAACCTGCATCCTCTGGTTTGCACACAGTTTATACACTTGCCCCAGAGAGACAGAAAGAGAGAAGGTTCTGGACACCCTGCTTGTGTCATTACGTAAGGACCCTGTGGTCTGAGAGGCTGAGAAGAGAGTTTTCTACTCTTTTGAAGCTTTTGTATCTTGGAGGGAAGGTAAAGGCTGTGTTCTCTGCTCTGTCAACATAAAGGGAAGGTATATCTGTTCTTTCTCTGGGCAGATCAGCATCTGGGTAAAACAGCTGTGAGCTGGCAGACAGGCCCATGTGATTAGGACGTGAGGGTTGGTGGAAAGTAGACGCTACGGCCTCTGTGCATCTAGATGACCCGTACCCACCTTGGCTCCATGAGAGACACCTTTCTCAGGATCAGCTGAGCTCGTGGGGGACTGCTGGCCCCCTACTGAGGTTAAGAGGCCGTGCATGCTGCCCCTCCTGACTACACATTCTACAGGGAATCGACGTCGCTGTGAAGCTATCTGGGCCTAGGGACAGGATCTCCAGCTGGCTCTGGGGACCCGGATTTGGTGCTGCAGGAAGCCACTCACCTGTTTTTTGGCTTAGTTGGTAGAGGAAACATTTGCGCAAATCAGCATTGTCCCTGAAGGTCAGCTGCAAAAGGGACCCCGATTTCTTTAATTTCTGCATAAGCCACAAGCCTAGAAAGACAAAAACAAAACAAAACCCTAAAATGTAAAATAATGCAAATCAGCACTGGGGTGAGGTTAACATTAAACTGTGATTTTTAGTTACTTTAGAAATGAGAGGGTAGCAGGCATTTTAGCAAATACTTGAAAAGTTAAAGGGAAATTTTTCTTATGTGCTGGCAGTAGGGATATAAAATCCTCCTGCAAAATGACATGGCAACAGGCCTCAGGAGTCATGAAACTAGCCAGACCATTTCAGCCACCCACTTGCCTCTATAAATCTAGCCTAAGGAAACAATCCTAAATATAAAAATATATATGTGCATGCTACTTACAGATCCATTTAGGATTCAGAAAAACCTTTCATTTCAGAGTCCATCCACTGATTTATGGCCATGCTGACACTAACACTGATGAGCAAGAGTTTTATGTCACAGAAACAATAAAAATATGAATATGACAAAAATACCGGGAAATACATAAGATACAGTATGTATATGTATATTGATTACTGCTGTGTAAATGTGTATGCATGCAAATGAACTATACAGATTTACTGTAGATATGCTAGATTGGAAGACAGTGGTAATGTCTCTTTAACCTTCTGTAATGTCTCAAGATTAATTTATAATTATGGGAAAAATTAAATGGGGTTCAAATTATTTGTTTCTGTTCTAGCCTTTCTTGGTTTGTGAGGAAGGTTCATAGAGTGGCAGACGAAAAGACTTCCATTTGTTATATATCAATGTGTCAAGTAACTCACATTCACAAATAGGACCCTTTAAATAACATAAAAACAAACAAATCCAAGCCACTTCATGTAAGGAAATCAAGCAGCCTAGTCTTCCCCGAGCCTAGGGCAGGTTCAGGAGACAGGGCAGAGGGCTGGAAGATGGGCAGAGAGAGGGGAGCTGATTAGAGTGACCCTAGATGCCATGTAATGGACAGGGGCAATCGGGGATTACTGAAGTCTTCGTTAGAACACAACTGAATAAACCACTTACTATTATACAAGAGCCAATGACCTCCTTGGGCTGCCATCCTCCCAGTGACACCACTTCTACAGTAACCACCCTACCTCTAGTAGCCATATGGTCCGCGGGGCTGGTCTAATCCTGCACGCCCTCCCAGGCCCTCCACCATCAGGCTCTTGCCCATAGCCCCTCTGCCCCCCCCGTGCCTCCAGATCATCCTATATTCCTGCCTTGAAGAACCACTTGCAGTTTGCTGATGTCACCCTGCTCTATGCTATTTCATAGACTATGTCTTCTGTACAGAAATCTTGTCCTACCGTCATTCACTGTTTTGGAAATTCTGCTCATCTTCCAGGAGTCACTGCACCTTGCTGCCCTACCCTCTGTGCTGGATAGTTCCTCCCCTACAAAGCTGATGAAACTGTGAGGCCTCAAAGCTGGGGGCTGTGTTCTTACATTCCAGCGAGAACTAGAGAATTTGTCTGCAGTGGCCCTGCAGAACATGGTGGTCAGCTTCAATTTTCCCTTCTCCTGTTTAATGCCCAATGATTCTGATATACACACACACATACACACCCACATATCACATACATACACACATATATACAAAATGTACGTTTACACACGTACATATATTACAGACATGCATACACATAGATATCATAAACAATCCATACAGACACACACCATCATGCCTTAGCTCCATTTTAAAAATAAGGTAACTAAGTAGCACAGAGGTAGGGTGTCTTGGCCAGACTCTTCCCTAGAACTTAACCACAGGTTTCTTGGAACTGACGTGGGTCAAAGCCCACTGCCGTAGACTGAATGTTTCTGTCCTCCCAGAATTCGTATGTTGAAGTGAGTATGTTGAAAACTAAGCCCCAGGGTGACGGTATTTGGAGTTGGGGTCTTTGGAGATAATTAGGTCAGGAGGGCAGAGCCTCCACATGTGGGATTAGCGCCCTTACAACTGAGGCTCCAAAAAGCAACCTTGTCCCTTCCACCCCGCGAGGACCCAGCATGAAGACGGCCCTCTCTGGATCGGAAGTGGGGGTTCACAGACACCCAGTCTGCCGGCGCCTTGATCATGGCACAGATCATTGTAAATACATTGAGGCTGAGTCTTGGCACGTTCAGCCTCCAGAACCGTGAGAAAGAGACAGCTGCTGCTTACAAGCCCCCCGCTATGTGGTGACTCATCACAGCAGCCCGAACGGCCTGAGACCCCCGTGCTCTCTGCGCCACCCTGCGGGCCTCCTCCGCGTTTCCCAGCGCCCCAGGGCATCACCTCCAGCTCGCAGACGGGGTCACTCAGCTCGCAGCGGAGGGGCCCCGTCCTCGCTAAGCCTGTCTCCTTCCACCCCCCGGTGCTTGAGGAGGCTCCAAAGTCACAAGTCACGAGAGTCCACGGAGAGCGTCGGCGTCCGCCTTTGCCCGCTCCGCCCCGGGTGGCCGGGAGGGGTGCCGGGCTCGAGGGCCTCACCTGTACTGACCAGGGCACTGTTGTTGTACAGGGTCCCGAGGTGAGGCCCGGACAGAGACAGGAACGTGTGCAGCTTGCTGAGGTAATACCGGAAGCGGGGCCGCGTCAGGACCGAGCGGATGATAATGTTGCCCAGAGAATGGCCAATGAAGCTGGTTGGAGACAGAAACAGTGCGGGTGGGCGTGGCAGCGGGAGGCCGCCCGGGGCAGCTGCACGGGGCCCTGGGGTGGGCCGCCCTCCACCTCCCACTGGCTCCAGGGGCCTGGCCAGCAGAACGGAGGCTCTGGCCCTTCCTCAGCAGGGTTCCCAGCTCCAGCCATGCCAAGCCTGCCACGGGATCTTCGCGAATGGAAGCCTCCGTGCCCAGTGCGGTCGGAGGAGAAGCTGGGCTTCTTGCTAGTTTTGCATTATTAGAGCAGCTTCCACCGCCCCCCGTCTCCTCTCCGGTTACCTGGGGTTCCCTTCTGAAATATGCATGTGGTCACTGAACCTTCCTGGACATTCACAGGATAAAATCACAGCTCCTCAGCCTTCTTCTGAGGCCATTCGTGCCCTGCCTTCTCACTGCCTGTCCGCTTTCATTCGTCGCTCAGCACCTCATGAACATATGGAGTCCCCTGCTCCAGCCCCGACTGTCTGAGCCCCACCTGCTCTGTTCCAGGTGGACTGCCACTCCCAGGTCTTTGGATGCAGTGCAGCCTTATTTTCAAAGAGTCATGTACCAAAACCCTATTAAGTGAGAAGTCTGCCCCTCCACTTCTTCTAATGGTCAGCACACAGCAAAGAAAGGAACTGAGTATGTGTGTACAGAGTGGCTTGGCCCTTCCATTCGTACCTAATCTCTATAGGCCTCAGAATCCTCTTCTGTGAAATAAAGAAGTGGTACTTTATCTCAAAGGCCCACATGCAGTCATGTGTGTTGAGGGGTCACCACTACATCCACATGCTGCAAGTGTACAAAAAGTGCAAGCTATTTACTATCACCTCAATCATTTAATCATTTAAACCAAATCATCCATTATGGTGGAAGGACAAAATTTGCACCACCACATGACCTCAATGTAGTCCCACGGGACGGACAGGGGAAGGGGCTCAGAGAATTAGGAAGCTTGCACAAGGGGGTGTGGTAAAGCTCGGCTTCAAATTTGTGAGTTAGAAGGAAGAGAATTCAAACCTAGGAACTTTGGAGTGAGTCCAGTTCTCTCTGCTGAGCTACAGAATGTCTATTCTCCTCCCCCACGGACTATACCCAATAGGGGTGTGTGGGCAGCTGCAGCACACGCTTCTGTTCTGAAAGTGACCTACTCCAAGGGGAGTCCCAAGCTAGCCCATCCGAGTGGTTTACAGAAGGCAGCATGCTCAACTGGCATACAGGAAACATTCAGAGAGTTGCCCGTCGCCCAGCGCTGACTACCTGTGGTTGCCTTTTACCTGATTCGGGAGACAGAGAGGCTATAGAGCTGAATGTGCTGGATGATTTCGTCCAAGAGCCGGTCAGTCATGGTATCGAAATCTGCAAACGTGTCCATCTGCAGACAGAGAGGAGAAGGGTGTTGGCTCTTCTTCCATTACCCATCATGGCACGTCCTGGCAGGGGGCCTATGGCTGATGTCGGGGGTATGGATAGGGACTCGGCCTCCAGGAAAGGGGCCCATGGATTGGGGCTCTGATGGAGAAAGTCAAGGACACGGAAGAATCCTCGGTTAGGAGGGCGACTGAATGGTAAAGGGAGAAATGGAAAGATGGAAGGAGGTAGTGTACCCACAGAGCCTACTGCCCCGTCGTGTGCCACGTATTCACACACACCCGCTGGCCCTGCTGGCCCCACTTCACAGAAGAGGGAACAGGTCAGAGGTGAGGCTGTGCATAAGCCAGAACTCATACCCAAGCCCCCTGACTCCAAAGGCCTGCCTTTTCCCAGCACAGCCTTCCGACTGCCCTTCCAGGCCCTGTCCAGAGAGGGGTCCCAAGGCCATCTGTGCATTAGTAAGGATGGTCATAGAAGGAAGAGGAGAATGTTACATGTGCCTTTGAATATCTGAGAGGCCAGATGTGGGGGAGACAAACTAAACTGGTTTATATGTATAACTTTGGGAACCATAGATGGGAGCCACAGGATGGAGATTTGGGGCCAGCATAAAGAAGAGAGCTTCCCCTAAGTGGACTTGCCCTGCAACGTCTTCGGCTTTGTGTAAGACGCATGTGTGGGGGCCAGCTCTCCGGCTCACAGGGGCTAGTCCTCCCCAGTCTGACCCTAAGTGTCCTCCTAATTCTTGAAGGGTGACAATGTTGCTGATTCCTTAGTGTCAGTTTAAAGATCAGGTGAACTATTAGCCAACCACCTAAGACAGGTGACTCTGTGGTCATCACCCTCTAGCCTTTCAGACCCCATTTCTTCACCTGTGTAGTATTCATTCAATGTGAGTTGTTAAATAAATGGCAGTAATCCTGAGTCAGCCAGGATGAGAAAGACTCTAGAAGTCACAGCAGGTTTAACAAGTGATATCAGGAACTCCCCTACCGGGGTGCTTTTAAAAGATATCCTGCAAAATCCATGTGTCTATGAGATTCACAGTTTCAGGAAGCAGTGAAATCATGTTGTGGAAAATAATCATTTCTGAGTGACCCCCACCCACATTCGGCTACTTTGTATAGACCCAGCTCCTCAGTCACTGTGGGATCTGCGGGGCTGCATCAAGAGTGGCTGGACACTCGTCCCCAAAAGGCTGGCCTCCTGAGCAGATTTCCCCAACACCCACATTCCCTGCAAAGGAACCCTCACTGGTGCAGATGACAGACACGAGGTCAGAAAGCGCCAGCCATGTACTTTGGGCTCTCTCCTCCACGTGTCCCGGCATCCTGATGCTCCCCCACTCAGGACAGGGGCCGTGGCAGGCCCACCCCACTGCTGGGTGCACCTGCGTACCATCTTCCTCTCCAGGTCAGACTGACTATGGAGCCTGGGTAAGCCTCAGAGCCTCCGCTCTCTAGCCTCCAGGGAGACAACGGCATCAATTTAACAGAACAGGTGTGAAGACGAAATGAGGAGACAGGTACAGAGTGCCGAGCAGTAGATGCTCCGCATGATTCTCTGTCCTCTTTCTCTCGCGTACACCTCTTCACACCGCACAGCCCAGGGCTTTCTATGCAGCAGATGCCAAAGGAAAGTCAACAGCACCAAGCGCTAACAGCCAAGGAGCAGGCCTGCTCCTCCTGGGTTGCCTGTTGGTCCCTCTCTGCACGGCACCCTTTCCCAATGGCCACGGGACCCCTAAGTCATAAACAGCTCCGTGTCTCCCAGGAAAACTCAGCACTCACCCATCAAGTCTCATGGGGTGGAACATAACAAACTCCACTTGCCTCGTGGCCATGGATCTCTAAGTTCTCACCCACTTTGACACCTCATTCAGGCTCCAGACTCCACCTACTTGGGATAGCAAAGCCCCGCGGTTGGCCTGGAACTCTAAAGGGCTCATACTCCACTGGTCACACAGATGCCAGCGACACTTCCCTACCCCGTACAGACCCACAGATACCCAGATGATGTGTGCTCCAAGCTGCCCCCACCACCCCGGCGCCCTGTGGGTCAACCCGAGTCCCCTGGCACCCAGGATCCCACTGCTCACTCGCCCCTCTGCCCTCCCAAGGAAGCCAAGCCCTTCCTCCCCGACTGCCTCAGGGCCTGGCCAGTGTCCTTGGCATGGCCCTGATCTGTGTGTGTCCTCACTCTATCACAGGGACTCTAGGGGGCTCGCGTAAGACGTGCCCCAGGGATTCCTTGCCCTCCGGTGTCCCGCCGGCAAACCTGATTCTTCTCGGACATGAGGAAGTCCAGCTTTCCTCCCGGGAGGCCCAGCTCGATGAAAGTCTTCACCAGCCGGAGGTCTGCGCTGTTCCCTGGAAACGGAGACGCGGGGTCAATCCTGTGAAGCTGGCGCGTGACGGAGTTACTGCCCCCTCTTCTCCCAGCCCTCATTTCCCACATTTCCCATTTCTTTCGTTCAGCAGATAATAAAAACAGCTAAAACAAGTCCAGCTCACCGGTCCTGGGAGGCCCTTCCTGCACACACAAGGTCATGGCTTTTCTAGGTCCCTTCCTCCGTGGAATGAGTCCTTGATCTGTGCGCACGTGGCTTGTGAGCATTCCAGACATAGGAACAGTCGGGGCACCCTGCCTCCCCGACGCCATGGCCAGGGCCTTCTGCCAGCAGCGGCCCTGAATGGCTCGCGGGGCACAGTGCGGCATGAACACAAAGATTGTCTTAATACAAAGACTTCCAGGTGGTCCCCCACAGGCCAGCCGGGGCGCAGTTATCTACAGTAGACTAAGCGTCACCCTAGGGAATGGCGTCATGCGCGTGCAAGCTCCGCGGATGCCATCTGCTCCAGAGTGACAGCAGGAGCAAAGTAACAAGAGCTGAATGGTCAGGGGCTGCTGCTGAGCGCAGGGGCCCAGGGAACACGGGGAACGAATTTCTGAAGCAAAACCATGTGGGAGAAAGGATCTGATACACAGAAGGAAATTCATATTCAAGTATTTTTAAGCGTACATTTCACGAAGGCCATGGGATCCTACTGTGTCTTAAGAACCTTAGCTGACCTAGTCCTCACACGGGTCGGGAGAGCTGGAAGTTAGAAGCTGCTTGTTTGAATGGATAGGAGACCTACTTTACCACGTAACCAGAGTTTCAACGTAGTTTCTGAACTATAAGTGATATAGTTTTATATCGTTCTTTGTGAAACTGTCAAGCGATTCAAAGAGCGGCCAAAGCACCCCACGCAATCTGGGAGAACTGCAGGGGTGTTTGAGAGTGTCCCTAATCTTGAAGGATGAGCTGATAACCCCAACCACCACCCCTGATGGTGGTCTGACAGGGCACGTCCCGTACATGCAGGGCCACAGTCATAAAATGCTCACAGTCTCTTGGGAAATGTTTCTCTTTTGTGTTAAATTTAATTCGTTCCTTTCATTTATGACAATAAAATTAAGCCCTTTGGTCCGGTTGCTTCTTTATATTTAAAGCCACATAATGACATTCCAGGACCTGGCCTTAAAAAAAAAAAAAAAAAAAGTAGCACGTGTTTATAGTTAACATGAGGACTTTAAATAAGGGACGACCATGGCCCCTTCTCCATCAGCTAATGAATGAAAGAGGACTAAAACTTTCTCAGAAAATATGATTTGAAAAGGTACTGAGGACATTTACAAGAATATAAAACGTGGGCCTTTTAAACAGCATGAAGAGTTGTGTAACTATTCACAACTGTTATAAATTTCTTCAGTTCCTTGTTAAATATAAATCGTACCTGGTAAGTGGAATATGAAAAAATGGATCCTGGAAAACTGTAGAGTGTAGACACATGTCCCTGGAACTAGAGAAGTAACATTCACAGGAAACCTATGCTCGCTCTCAGCCGCCTTCGGATGACTTTATGCCCAGGTGACAATGCTGTGACTGACAGCTCTGTGCTCTGACACGGGACTGGTGAAGCTGCTCTGTCTTTATGACAATCCTCTTCTCCCACATGCATGATGGAAAAAAATTGAAGTCTGTGGCCAGACCAGATTTAGTTTAATAAAGAGGCTGAGAGTCTTGTCTCATTTAATGTGGTATCAGGTTAGTAAGAGGTGCATAGTGGCCATACATGGCATGATGCTAAGTTGTCCACAGATGCTGTGTTAAAAATACATTGTGCTGATGAGACCATTATTTTTCATCTTTCTTTCAGTCCTTCTGATTGGTAGTTCCAGTGAGAAACAATTCTGTCTTCAATAGCTTATTACTTTTAAGAGAGAAAGTGAGTCTCAAGCCCAGAGTCTTCCGACAAAGGGACTAGACAAGCTTCAGTAAAAGTTTCCTTTGCTGTCGTCATTTTTTAGCATTACTCTTCATGTGTAGCAAGTGATTCTGGTATTTCATTTGTGGTGTGTGATGTGAGGTTTCCTTTTTTTAAATAAATGTATTTCAGAAGAATGCCAATTTCAATAGAAGTTTTGAAATTACAGTACAAGGTGCATGGACAGAGTAAAAGTAGGGAAGAGAATGTGCAAACAGCTGAAATTTGGGCAACACTGAAGTCAACGCAGAGAGAGGAAAATGCACCAGAAAGCAAGCCTAGTGTGAGCCAAGGCACAGCGGAGTGACATGGCCCGTGTCCCTGGAAATGGTGTGGACGGATGCAGCTGGAAGCGGGAGAGCAGGAGATGATAAAGGGAGGCTGAGAACAGAAAGGGCTTTCCATGCTGGGAAGCTTCCAGGCTTTCTAAGATAGGTGTTCATTTTCTGAGAGCTGTCAGGAAAGGTTTTCAGTCATAGCGTGGCATGGCCAGATCTGGTAAGATTTCAAGACGATGACTCAGTGATGTGGGTGAAGGTTTGGATGGGGAAGAGGTGAGCTTGGTGGTATAATGCAAAATGGAACCATGGGCTCTGGAGCCTGACAGCTGGGCTTCCAGCCTGGCCCAGTCCCATTAGCTTTGGGACGTCATACAAGGTAATTAGGGGCCCTCCGGCTCAGTTGGCACATTTGTAAATGGGGAGAACAGCACCTACTCTGCAGCGCTGTGTGAGAATGAGCATTACTGTATGTTAAGCACCTAGAGGGGTGCCTGGTTCCTGGTGATCTTCAATGCTGGGCTTCCTCCCTCACCCCTTCCTGTCATCACCAGCATCCAGAATCTATCACCTACCACTGCATTGTCTGACGTTTCACCTAATAGGCCTGTCCACTGAGTGTCCTGTGTCCAATGCCTACAGCCAGAAGTTGATGTTGGTCCTGCAGTGAGAAGAATCCAGGCAACAGAGTGTGCCATGGAAGCACAGACCATTCCCCGTTTAACCCTTGGAAGAAGGATGTGGCCACTGCCTGCTCCTCACCACCTGTGGAGCCCTGAAGTCCTCTCACTTTTCTGTCCTTGGTTAGGCATTAGAGTCCATATATTATTAGAGTCCCAGCAAGCATACTCTATATTCCGATTTTCCAATTGGAAATATGACTTACACCTGAGTTTGAGGGGCAGAACTCAAGAGCTTTACCTCCAGTTTTCCTGGTCACTTTCTTCAGCCAGGTAGGTAGAGGGGACATTCCTAGGGGAGCCAGGACCAACCGCACGCCTTCTGGTTCAGGGCCCCCTGATCTTCAGGCAGAGCCGGTGAGCTCCGTACACTTGTGGAGCCTTTGTGCCAACCTGAGAAATCCTAGAGGACCCTGGTCACGGTGACTGGGTCACTTGGCGGGGGTCAGGGTGGGGGAGACCCTTTCCTCTTCCCCTCTCTCCCCTGAACCTCTACAGTTCTTGGTTCTGTGTTTGCTGTTCTCACTAAATTAAGAACATTTTACAAATCAAGGACCAAGTTAGAATTCTGTCATCTCAGAACTCGGTACAGAATCTGGGCTACAAAAGGTGACCCATTAAGTGACAGGTGAACAAAAACTGTTGCCACTGACTTGAGATCCTCAACATGAACTGTGTACCCCTCCCACTCCACTTCTCCCCTTCTTCTATTGATCCGTGCATTCCATCCATTCATGTGCTCTAATTATGCACGATTCCGTTAATATTTTCATTCTAGTAATTCATTCATCCCATCCATTCATTCATCCATTCCTTCTTTAAGTTCTGTTCATTAGTTCCATTAATGATTCCTTCCTTCCTTCCTTCATTTATTCCATTCATTCCCTCATTCATTCATTCATTCATGTGTTCATTCATTCATTTATGTATCTCATCTACTCAGTGGATTTTTGTGCCAGAGCAATGTCTTCCTTAGAGCAAGGCCACACCATTTCCCTAGACCCAGAATACTTACTGTCATTCCACAGTAGCTAACTGAACATTTGTTGAACAAGTATACCTGATCTAAATTAATTCATAAATACTGTAAGTCGTTTGTAGCACAGAACTTTGATGAAGAGACCTTTTTAGAACTCACCGTCCAGGCCATGGACACAGACTACCAGGTGAATCCCATCTTCCAAATTTTCTTCCTCTTCCTCTGGTGGAAAATACGGTATATCAGAAGCTAGTACAGATAAGTCACTGTACAGAAATCCATCAATCTTCAGCTCTTTTTTAAAGTTTTCTTTGGCCTGATAGAAACTGGAGAATACACTAGTTAATCACAAGCCAAGCTGTGTATTGCATGCTGAACAGGAGATGAGTTAAGCTGGGATGTGGGAGTGATGAGCATCTGGAGGAAGGACCCTGCCGAACAGCAGAGGCTAAATAGGTCCTCACGGAAATGTCAGGAAGGGAAGCTTTGTTCTGAATTAGCAGTAGGAAAGCCCCCTGGGAAAACCAGAGGCTATACCGGTTTGGGTTCTGAAGATTTCTGTGTGGTTCCTATATTGAAGAGGGCTGCTAAATTCTAGCCAGTGCAAAGGATCCACGTGATCTTTAAAATGATCTTCCCAGAATGCATGCTTCTTATCCTTGCCTACAAGGCCTCTGAGGCTTGGCCTCTATCTACTTCTCCAGCATCATCTCCCAGTCTTGAGAAAACACATTTCTCATGATGCCCTGCATGAATTATGTCCCATGGCTTTACTTCTGTGCCTTTGTGCATTCCAGTCTACCTGTCAGAAATGCCTTTCCCACCTGGCTGTCACATTCTTTGCCTGATTATCTGACAAGGTAGTGGTTGAGAGCATGTATTTGGAAGTCAGAATGCCAAGCTCAAAACCTCAGCCTTGACACTTAATAAATGTGAGCCAACCACTTAACTTCTCTGCGTTGAGCTTCCTCATTAGTAAAAGGGGAATAATACCATTATTTAAGTCATAAAGTTTTTTGTGTATTAAGTGATAAGATACAGTGCTTGAAACAGATTAAGTAGTAACAAAAAAGTGTTACCTATTACCAGCCATCATCACCATTATCAAGTCTCATATCTTCCCCTCAGCCCAGATGTCATCTCTAAAAAGTCTCTGCAGGCCACCACCCCTCTTCGCGCTCACTGCCCCAGCTCGATTAGGTCTTTTCCCTTCTGGCTCAGCTGAGCTCACATGAACCATCCCGTTACCCAGTGGCCGCATTTACTTCCCTCATCTCTCGTCTTCTTGTTAGGCTGTGAGAACAGAAATAGCCAGGACAACACTGGCTAGGCATGGGGCAGTGCCTGCTATGGATTTGTTACACAGATGACATGGGCACAGAATAGGTGTTTAATATTCTTAAAACAAGAGACCCAAAGTTTTCCTGCCTGTGCAGTGACCTTTGGGGATACCATTAATGTGTAATTCTTTAGCATTCTGCAAAAGGGTAAAGAGGATGGAATGTTCTGATAAAATGATCCTCTAATACACTTAATCAAATATATAGTTTATAGGTGAGGGAGTGATACGAACACAAATCCAACACAAGGATGGAGGGATGTCCTCTGGCATCGCAAAGGAATGATAAAGGACGGCACAAAGGGGCTTGAGAGGCAAATCTGATGAAGGAGCCCTATTCCTCAAAGCCTCTTAAACAGTGTCCCTCTCAATAAAACAAAGCAAAACAAAACTTCCCTTTCAAAATGTGCAATGATAGAGGTACAATGACACTCATAATAGAGTGGCTTATCATAATAAAAACTGAGAAGTACTTAAATGTCCATTTCTAAAGGATATGTTAATAAATCATGGTGCATCTATATAATGGAGGACAGTTGAAACATTAAGATGATAAGGTAAGAATAGATTTATGAACATAGAAAGATGTTGCCAATATATTAAGTTGAAAAAAACTTAGTTTGTATGGAATGACCCTGTTTTTACATAAAAAGAACATTCAGATATAGATACACATAGAAAAAAGTGTGGAAGAACATATTCAGTGGCTACAGTTGAGAGATGGGCACATTGATAATATTTACTTCCTTATATTATTCTCCATTTCTGACCTGCATGTGTTGAATATGTTATTTTTTAATCAGAAAACTACCGGTAACTCAATTTTGAAACAGTATGCATGACACTGAGAAACATGCGAACAAGTGTGAAAGACTGTGGTGCCGGGGTAGCTCAGCCATGAGCAGGCTCACCTGTACATCTGCTCACTGACTTCTTCCTCCAATGAGCTGGAATGGGTAGAAACAACTCCAAAGGAACCCAAAGGTTGATGAGTGATGGGAAATGGGGTCTGTCTGGAAGAGAACCCAGCCCTGGCAGGGGTCTCCTTGGGCACAGACGAGAAGGGGAGACATGTGGCGGTACAAGACACAGATAAGTTGACGACCTCCACGGTTTTCAGGCTGTCGAGAGGGAAGGTCTCTGCCGGGCTCGGGTGGGACGCCAGGATGGAAGGACCTGCCCTCGGCTCTTGGTTTCCCAAAGCCCGGGAGGGAGCAGAGTGGGTCACAATGGAGCACACAGTGTCTGCTGTACGTCCATCCTCCAGGAAGGTGCTGGGTCCCCCACCAAACGCTGCTCCGTCAAGGAGATAAGGTGAGCCGCTGCGCTCGTCTGCGGGATCCCGGGCGATGGCTGCAGCAGCTGAGGCGCAGCCCTGCTCAGGCACCTGATGATGGGGGACGGCCCTCTCAGCATCCGAGGTGCTGCTGTTGGGAAGAGCCCCTTTCCCCTCATTCAAGTCTTTGGGCATGTCCTCTGGCGCCCCCATTCGTGTGCTAGGGAGAAATTCATTCCCAGGGGTTTCAAGGGCTATGGTACATGGTATTTTTAAATGAAGACCTTTGGTTTCAACACCCGGAAGGGTCTCAGTCCTTCCATCGAGACAACAGGGTCCCTGAGAGTCAAACTGATCCCCTTTCCCTTTGGGGATGTCTATGTACCCAGGGCCCTGCTGGCTGTCAGCATCCGAAACCGCCTCCTCGAGGGAGTGGCCTGCCCTGGCGTCCTGGATTCTGGAGCCACCACCAAGCTGAATGCAGTGTCCCGGGGGGGTGCTGCCCTTGCTCTGTACAGCAGAAGCTTCAGCAAGAGCCCCTCCTTGCCGCAGGGTGCCTGTGTCTTCAGCAGACTCCTCCGGGCTACTGATTTGAGGTGCAGATACAGACTTGGTCAGTTTGGTGAGAGCCAATTCCCGCTCCTCCTCCTCAAAAGGCAAAGAGCTAATGGAGGTGAGAGACGCCTGGATCCCACTTGGCAAACTCGTGTTGCTCTCCGTGCGTCCACCCTCTAGGGAGTTCCTGTGTAAGGCATGTCTTCGGACCAGCTGGTGCAAGACGTCCCTGTCACTCGGTAACTCCAGGGCCCTGCTCCGGGCCTCAGACCAGGCGACGGAGCTTGGCTCGCTCTCAATGCCTGAATCGGAGATGATGGAGGAAGATCTCTTAATGACCCCACACAGCACTGAAGCTTCCTCCTGCCCCTCTGTGCAAGGGTCTTTTGGGGAAACCCTAATGTCCAAGGGGTCTCTCAAAGTAGAGTTCAGGGGCTCACAGGGTTCAGAGGGGATGAGCTTAAGACTTAGCAGCACCATCTTACCCTCTCGATCCACTCCTTTTCCTAGAGTACTCAATGCATGGAGTGCTGTTTTCTCTGAAGAGATGACACTTTGATGACTCCTGCCTGCTACCCCTTTGCTTATTAGCGCAGTTCTGTCTAACTCATAGTTATCTTGAGAGCGTCCACTCTTATTCTGAGCACTCACGACCACTGTGTGTTCACCTCTACAGGGGTTCTTATTGCTAGATTTCACGTCAATATAGGTCAGTGCTGGCGCCTGGCCATCCTCTGGGCCTGGACTCCTTCTCATCAAGTCCTCCTCAGCCAGAGGATGCCTTCCAACATCAGATTTGGGGCCGGTCCAACATTCTCCTCCAGGCAAACCTGCTTTGCTCTGGAATTCACCAATTGTCAGATACACCTGAGATTCAGAGCACACATCCACATGATTTGGTGTGGTTACATTCTCATCTGGCTCTGGACACCTAGTAACTTCTTCACCAGAGCCCACTTGGGATGGTTCCATGGTGGGCAAGACCAGGTCTTCCCTAAAGGTTGATTTTCTATTTACGATATGGTTCTTTTCCTTGTCTTTTAGATTCATTATTGCAGAACTTGTGGCTGGAACATCAAAATTAGGGTAGATGCTCAAATTATGCCCTACAAGAAAAAAGAAAGAAAAATGTATTATAGCTTAAGAATGTATGCTCACAAATTATACAAATATCTGATTGTATAATACAGAACTTGGTTGGACTTTGTTCATGATTCCTGGGAGGTAGCCTCAAAATTCTTGGAATTCAAGCGACAGCAATGTTTTTGTCATTCACGGTGGGCACGGTGGGACCCGCTGATGGGTCCTTGGATAGCTTATCGTAAGGAGGTGACTCAGGATGGGAGCTGGTCGTGGCAGAAAGACCAACCATGTGATGAGCTGGCTGTGGCTTTGAGCCAGTTCCTACTAGCAGATCCTCTGGGGAGGGGAGGTGGGCTGAGGATTGAGTTCACTTACATGGCCTAGGATTCAATCAGTCAGGACTACGTAACAAAACCCCAGTAAACACTCTGGACACAGAGGCTTGAGCAGGCGTCCCTGTTGGGTAGTACATGTTGATCTGCCCAGATGACCAGTCCTGGGGCCCAGGAGCTTCGTGTTTTGGATCCTTGCAGACCTTGCCCTGTGGGTCTCTCTTTGGCTGGTCTTTATTTGTATCCTTTATATAAAACTGCAATTATAGGTATAGCACTTCCCTGAGTTCCGTGAATTATTCTCGTATATCATCAAACCTGAGATCATTGTGGGAATCCCTGAACTGGTAACCGGTTGGTCAGAAGAGCAGGTGGCCTGGAAACCCTTGTGGCTGCTGTCTGAAGTGAGGGCTGTCTTATCAGAGACCCTGCCCTTAACCTGCAAAGTTCGCCCCAACACCAGGTCATTAGAACCAGAATTGCACCGCATTAATGCAAAGCTGTCAATTATTGTAAGTATTGATTTGCCATTTGTTTCTCAAACAATTTTAATAATTACCACTTAAAAATGTTAAAACATGCCTCTATCTTATGTTCAGTATTCAGAGCAGAGAAAGAGAGCTTTGAAGCCAGGAAGGCCTGGCTTCCAGTCCTGACACTGACACTTGCCAGCTGTGAGATCTAGGATAATTACAGAACTTCAGGGAGCTTTTCTTCCTGTTTGAGTTCATCATCCTCAACTCTGGCATGGGCCGTTCAAGGGAACCAGCAGGCCTCCCAGCTGAACTCACAGCAGAGTCACTGTTCGAGACGTTCTGCCCAGAGAAGACAGATTTCTGCTTCTGCAGAGAATCACCGCCAAGTCTGGGCTCGGTCCCCAGGGCGATCACCCTGCGCGGCAGGGCCCGAGGCTCCCAGATCCCTCGGATCCTTGCAGCTGCTGGCAGCGAGCCAAAGTGCGGTCTTCGCTTCCTTATGTTTCTTTAGGGTGAACTGTTCTCTCGCTCATTCTCTCTTGGTCTCATCTCCCTTTTTCCCTTTTCCCTCCTCCCCCTCACTCCCTCCATCTCTCCATCTCTCTATCTCTGTCTCTATCCTCTGTCTCTCTATCTCTCTATCTTTATCTCCCTTCTAATTAGAGTAAGTGCCTCCCATGTCTGTCTGTACTGCAGCCCTCTTGAAAAAAACCATCTGATACATTATTCAATTTCCTTATGTAACAAACAAAAAAAAGGGTTAGGCTTTTGCACTCTTCAAAAAGTTCGAATTCCCCATATGGTTTTAATAGAAGTTAAATGAATACACAGTTGACTCTTGAACAACTCGGGGGGTTAGGGGCACTGCCCCACTGCCCAGTAGGAAATCCACATATAACTTTAGACTCCCCAAAAAGTCAACTGCCAATAGCCTCCTGCTGACAGGAAACTTCACTGCTAACATAAACAGTCAATTAACACATATTTATATGTTATATGTATTATATACTGTATTCTTACAATAAGCTAGAGAAAAGAGAATATCTTTTTAAAATTATTACACATCTTCAAAAAGTTTTCCAATATATTTATTGAAAAACATCTACATATAAGTGAGCCCATACAGTTCTGACCTATCTTGTTCAAGAGTCAACTGTAATCACAATTGAACATTTTCATGAAGTACATCATTATGACACTTAAAAATTGTATGGGACTTTGAGACACCATCAGATCATACCTTTGAGTGAAATTTATGTTGGGGTCAAGGCTTAGAACAAAGAATATGGAAGAAGAGATCTCTTCCTCACATGGACACATTCTTTGCTTCTTGAGAGACTGAGCAAATTTCCCTTCCTCTGAGGGAATGTTCCCACACCCTGTAGCCAGGCCTCTGAGAGCAACTGCCTTGGGGTTCTTCTGGAAGATGTGCTCATGAGTGCTTGGGTCCCAGACTCCGCTGGGTCCCATGTCCCAAACACACTACAGAAGCCACAAAGAGATGCTGGCCCTAAAATACTACATAGATATGGATAAGGCATGGCTTAGAAGATCCTGCATGGACAGACGGCCCTAGAAAGAACCCCCAACCACATCTTACTGTTGCTTAAGACTTTAGAGCACTGCCACAGCAGGCGGTGAAGAGTCGGCAGGAAGTCCCAGAAAGATTGAGGCCAGCTTTCCAGCTAATGCTACAGGATGGATGGCGCTCAGAGGACGTGAACTTGATTTATAAAAAATAAAGACATGCAATAAAATTGCATACACAAGTTGAGGGACTGAGCTTGATATGCACCAGGGTGTCTATTAATATGCAAAGGAGAAAGATTAGAAGGCACTCTGCACAAAGCCTAATAATAATCACATTAGAGGGTTTGGTAGTATGGTTCTTATTCTGCATTTCTCCTCCAACTCTTCAAATTTTCTGTAGTGAGACTATATACCTATAATGAAGATGAACATATATGCATATGCACAGACACACATGTACACAGGCACACAGTTTCAACGCAAAGTTTTAAGCTTGTTTTGACCAGAGGGTTGGCAGCCATCTAGAGCTACAGCACATTTTCACGTCATACACAGTGTTGACACTAGGTGTCAGAGTACAACTGGGAACTAATATCATTTGTTTGCAAAGTGGCACTGTCTTGGAAGTCACCTATACTTTTAAAACATCCTGCAAGTCTCAGTTTGCATGAACTCTGACGTTTAAACCGGCCCATCCCTTAAATGATAGGCACCCACATATCTGCACTGACAAGGCAGCCTTAGCATGAGCTTTGGGTTGGAATGAACTGCTTTCAGTGTTGCCTTTTTTTAAAAAATCTATTTATATTTATTTTTATTGTAATAACCTAGTTTGACTTTTCTCTATGATCTTATTTGAATTTCCTATTTATCATACTTTTACTTTGCTTCGTTTCTTTCTTGCCTGCTACTCCAGTAACTACATTTTCTCTAAGTCATTTTTTTTTTCTAGGTTCAGAAGTTACATTTTGTTTATTTTGGTAAATATCTTTCAATGTTTAATACGTCTATCAATAGCAGACTCTGTCATTTTTCAAGGCTGCTGGAATCTTTTAAATAGCCTTCCCATATTTGGTATAATTCCCTGGGCATAGATCCCACCTCCCCAGTATAAAATACAGAATTCAAATTTCCTGCTTCCCTTGCAGCTAGAATGCAGGCCAAAGACATAGACTGTCAACCAGAAGCACCTGTGGAAACTAACGACTGTAAGGATATAAGCTCTGCAAACAGCTTCCACCTTCCTGGTGCAGAGAAACAGATGGATCCAGTTTGCAGAGGTGGCGGCAGTTGTAAGTCAAGTTTCTAACACAGAATTGGCACTGATGCTGACAGTAGGAGTGGATGGAGAAAAGTTCAGCTCCTGACATTTGGTGCTTGGATGGTAGTAGTAGCAGTTTCTTTTTCATGCCAGTTCTGTTGCGTGGTTTAGGGTGCTTTTTCTCGAAGCTTAGCCCACACTTGTTGTTTTTTTAGCTCTTCCAGTGATGCTAAGAACCGCTGAACATCAACTTAAGAAATTCCTGCTGGAGCTGGAATTCCATGTGGGTGGGGCTGTGGCCACCACCCCAGGCCACGGCAATGAGACTGAGTGCTGCCCTCCTCCAGGGGAAGCTGCAGCAGAACCTGTGGCAGAGCACACAGAGAACAGGACACAGCTCTCAAAGATGTTCCTCTAGCTTCCAGGTCTGAGGAGCTGCTGACTCAAGAGACACTGACTAGTGAATACATGCCTAGAAGTCCAAGCCTTTGAGCAGAAAACATTGACACGAGTAGTGCACCTGTGAGTGGCAGAAATAAGGACAAGGACCTAGATGCCCATTAAATTATGAATCACAGCCAAAAAAAAAATTCTTGCTCGAGTCTGTTGTCTTCATAAGGAACCTTAACCAATACAGGAATTTATTAACTTCTAAAGTTAAGGAATAAAAGGAGTCTAGTCCTGAATTCAGAATTTCCTTCTGCCATTACCTACCATACTCTTGAGAGGAGGTATATTAATTTTACCTGTTTTTCAAATTCCAAAATACTGGCACTTAAAAAAAAATACTGATTTAGATTAGCTAAAGTACTTGCTAATTTATTTGTTTACCTTTTGTTCTTCAATCTCAGTAATTCCTTTTGGGCTCAGCCTTTTTCTTCTTGGAGTATATTCTTTTGTATTTCTTTCAACAAGCATCTGTGAATACTAAATTTTGAAAATGTGTTTATTTTGTTCTTCCTCTTGAAAGATGGTTTAGCTAGGTATAAAATTCTAGTTTCTCAGTTATGGGTTTTCAATACTTTGAAGATATTTTCCATTGTCTTCTGTCACTTAATATTGTTTATAAATCTAACAGTATGACTGCCTTTACTTTTAGGATAATTTGACTTTTCTCAGTGGTAACTTTAACATTTTCCTATTGCTTTAGTACTCTGTAATTTCACTACTATGTACAGGTCTCAATTTTTAAAAATTATTCTGTTTGAGCCTTAGCACCTTCCTTTGACCTGATAACTCATAGTTTTCTTTAAGTCTGAAAGACTCTCATTATCCCATGGATATTGCCTCTCTTTCAAACTCTATTTTCTCTCCTTCAGAAATTCTTTCAGATGTATCCTGGGTCTTCTAATTCTATCCTCTAGGCCTCTTAAGTTATCTTTGCTGCTTTGGCAATTTATTATAAACATTTTCCATGTATTTCAGGCTCTTCATAAACATCAGTTTTATAATACAGAGATCATCTGGCTCAAAAGTCATCAATAAGTGTCTGTTTCTTACCACATAAGTCACTTTTCTGGTTTTTAAGGCCCCCATACATCCAGGCATTGCCACTGAGCATAACTTATGGGTCCCATCTGCCCAACACCAAGAGATTACTGAGCTCATTGAAAAATTTAAATGAGGTAAAGCACATAAGGTACTGACATGTGTCCAACACATAGCAGCACACTAAATAAAATCTGGTGTGGTTGCCAGCTCGGGGCAGTTTCCCTGGTGGTTGCATCTGGATGACATCCTTCCTCCTATCATTTTAGATGTGAATTCTGAATGGAAGCGGTTATCAATTCTAAGACCTGGCTTCCTTGGTTGTTGTGATTGGCTGAGGCATGGTCACATGCATCTAGCCCACCTGATTAGCCATTCCTTGAGACTTAAAATTTGAGATTTTGTCTATAACTTCAGGGTCCTCAAAATGTGAGTAGAGTTGCTGGCTTTTATTAACCAGGGGCTGGAGCTGCCGGGCCGGACAGACACAGGCACACAACAGTCTTCTCCCACACAAGCCTGGAATGGTAACAGTGTGCAGCTGCCCCGGTCCGCCACCCTCCCCCGGCTTTGGGGAGCGCTTACGCTCGCGCCTCCACGTGCGAGCCCGGGGCCGTTAGCCTGTGCTCCCGACACCCCCACCTTCAGCCCCAGGCGCGCGCTGTGAACACCTGGCCACCCCTCCCCCGGCTCCACGCGCTCACGCCGGCCCCTCAGTGTTGCCTTTTATGAGCTGCATGGTCTCTAATACGTAATTACACTCCTTGCGCTTCAGTTCCTCTCTGTGAAATAGGCTCGTGAGTTTTTTTTAATACGATTAAAAGGACGAAACTCATTAAACCTCCAGCATAGGGCCTGGCACTGTCTGACCCTCTAAGGGTTCGTGGATCCATTTCAGCTCTGTCACCTGTAATGGCTTTTTGGCTTCCCACGAGCAGGGCTGTGGGAGGTGCCAGACAGCCAACCTGAACTTCATGCCTCTCCGCTGCCCTAGCAGCTCATTAACAAACTGCAACACCAGCAAAACTGACTGTGGTCTGGGTGCACAGAGACAAACCTGCTGTCTTTTCTCTCTGAGATGAGCTCTGCATCCACTCACCCACATACCCACGCAGTCCATTTTCTCAAGTACCTTTGCTGGCTTAGGGCATAAAGCAAGAACTCCATGGGAATCTGAACTGAATGCTATTAAAGTGCAACTAGAAATGATTTTCTATTTGAATTGCACATTTGAGGTAAGAAAGGATCTCCATCCAACACTCACTGAACTCTAGTGAGGGGGAAAATTTGGTTACCATTTTGCAGGTAAAAACACAGACGCACTTGGTACAACTCCACCCCAGAGGGAATGGGGAAGGGGGTCTGTACTGTAATGGCCCCTTTGCTACATTAATTTATCAATTTCACTGACCCAAGGTATTCCAAATAACCAGCTTAACCTCAGTTTTTGCTCTTCCTCTATGAACTAACCGATTACGTCATTGATTTGGTCCTACTGCTGCTGTGACCTAAACGGGCCCCTGCCTGGGACCCACCGGTAAGCCTTATTCTCGAGTCTTTCCAAAAAAGAGACGACAAACCTGTCACAGGGCAGTCCACATATCTGTCCTCAAAGATAACAGGCAGGGTGTTCCAGTCGCCGTCGATGTCCAGGCATTCTGCCGGCAGCGGGGGCATAGTGGTGAGATACTCCGAGTTCCGCACATCCAGAGACAGCTGGCTGTGCATCTGTATCCTGGGAAACACACAGACTGCACACTGAGGTCCAAGGAAGTCTGAAACATTTTACAACTGTTGCCCATCCCCTTATCACAAGGAAACATTCAGAAAACATTCAGTAGATGCTGACCACAGAACACCTACCTGCCCGGCTGTCACCTTTCTTTCTTGCCATCCACCAACTTCCAAGCCATAGTGTGCTTTGAATTAGAACTAGCCTGGGTACTGAGGTTAGAGGTCATGGACTGTATGACTGGTATCATTTATCACATACAACTTTAGTGGAAAAACTTTGAAGGAAAAACATAAATCTACATATCCTTTACTCTTGCTTCTCTAACTTCCTACAGTGCTTGGGTCTGAATCATATTTTGTAGCATTTTAATTAAAAACCAACTAAAACTGATTTTTTATTGCTTACTATGTGAGCACTGCATCCTTAAGTTCCCCTGATTCAAGAACCATGGTTTTTGGTTCCTCCATGTGGTTTTATAAAATGCCCCGTATTCTGCTTCCATGACCCCAACATCCTTCCACTACTAAGAATTGGATTCCAGAGTTCAAAATAATAAGTATTCCTAATTCAAAGCCTAGGATGGAAGAAAATGTTTATTTCCTTCTCCTCAAGTCCCTGCAAAATGGAGGGAGTTTATTTGCTTGATAGAGGAAAAATAGTAACATTCTCTCATTTTTCTTCATGCCAACTTAATCACTCTTACACGAAGGGAGAAGAGAGCCTTACCTAGGCCGGTGAGTTTGGGAGGAGAATTTAGCATGCAGAGCTAGTTTCTGTCTGACTGTTACTCTTTTTTGGAGCATCCTGAACTCAGGAAGCCCCCATCTCTCTCCCCAGCCATGAAGGTCATCTGCCTTCTGGAAGCGCTTCATAGCGGTGGAACTCTGCACAGGTCCACAGGACTTCTGTGACTCAGCATTCTCAGTAACAAACACAATGAAAATGAACACATGTGTATACACGATACTTTACATATGTATGTGGAATATATATATTTCATTTCCTTATTTGTCAATTGGGTTTTAACCTATGAAAGAAAAAGATAAGCAATTTATTCTCTTCCTCAAAGCCCTGAAGGCTTTTGCAACTTCATAACGTTTTGAACCTTTCTCTGAATATTTAAATAGAAGTCTGTTGCAATCAGTTCATTTATTAGCCATCATCTGAACCTGAAACATTTTAGCTTATTAAAAAAACATATTATTGGAATGCCAATGTACATAGAATGGTGTAGAAGGTCTAGGGTGTTCACCAAGAGGGCTGAAATTTGATTCTGTACCTAAAGAGGTTACAGAGTCATGAATAAATCAGGTGACAATAAAGTCATTATAATACATCAGGATAGGTCCTGGTGGGTCAGGTGTATGTCATTTTCTGCAGGGAGTTATCCCCCAATGGAATGTAGTTTCTGGAGCATCAGGATTCTGTGAATTTGACCAAGTACCTAAAACAGTGCTTGGCATGTGTTAAAACAAATGACTAACCTTTTAGGGTACATGCATGATGAGGTATCACCTCTCACCTTAGGGTGGCTACTTTAAAACATACACACACATGTTGGCAAGGAAGCTAGTTTCTGTCTGACTGTTACTCTTTTTTGGAGCATCCTGAACTCAGGAAGCCCCCATCTCTCTCCCCAGCCATGAAGGTCATCTGCCTTCTGGAAGCGCTCCATAGCGGTGGAACTCTGCACAGGTCCACAGGACTTCTGTGACTCAGCATTCTCAGTAACAAACACAATGAAAATGAACACATGTGTATACACGATACTTTACATATGTATGTGGAATATATATATTTCATTTCCTTATTTGTCAATTGGGTTTTAACCTATGAAAGAAAAAGATAAGCAATTTATTCTCTTCCTCAAAGCCCTGAAGGCTTTTGCAACTTCATAACGTTTTGAACCTTTCTCTGAATATTTAAATAGAAGTCTGTTGCAATCAGTTCATTTATTAGCCATCATCTGAACCTGAAACATTTTAGCTTATTAAAAAAACATATTATTGGAATGCCAATGTACATAGAATGGTGTAGAAGGTCTAGGGTGTTCACCAAGAGGGCTGAAATTTGATTCTGTACCTAAAGAGGTTACAGAGTCATGAATAAATCAGGTGACAATAAAGTCATTATAATACATCAGGATAGGTCCTGGTGGGTCAGGTGTATGTCATTTTCTGCAGGGAGTTATCCCCCAATGGAATGTAGTTTCTGGAGCATCAGGATTCTGTGAATTTGACCAAGTACCTAAAACAGTGCTTGGCATGTGTTAAAACAAATGACTAACCTTTTAGGGTACATGCATGATGAGGTATCACCTCTCACCTTAGGGTGGCTACTTTAAAACATACACACACATGTTGGCAAGGATGTGGAGAAGTTGGAACCCTTGTACACTGTTGGAAGGAATGGAAAATGGTGTAGCTACGGTGGAAAGAGAGTAGGGAAGTTTCTCAGGAAGTTAAAAATAGAAAAGCCTATAATCCTGCTTCTGGGTATTTATCCAAAGGAGATGAAATCAGAATCTTTAACATATATCAGCATTCCATGTGCACAGCAACACTATTCACAAGGACACGGAAACAAGCTAAATGCCCACAGACAAGGAAAAGAAAGTGTGGCGCGGTGGGTTATTATTCAGCCTTGAAAAAGGAGGGAACTGCACTATGCAACACTGTGGGTGGACCTTGGGAGTGTTTGCAAAATGAAATAAGCCAGCTACGAAGGGATAGATACTGCATAATTCCACTTACATGAGTTATCTAAAGGAGTTATCTGAATTCATAGGGGCAAAGAGTGGAGTGGTGATTACTGGGGGCTTGGGGAGGGGGAAGCAGGGAGTGCTCGGCGACGGGCATCAAGTTTCAATGAAGTAAGCTGAGAAAGTTCTAGAGATGTGCTGTGTGGAGCGAGCAGGACCTGGTCCAGTACCTGTTTATTTCAATGTCAGTCTAGTCTGGAGTACAGTCCAACAGCATATGGCTTCTTCTACAACAGATCCTGAGAAATCCACACTTTACTTTTCTCTGGGGTACCCTTTATATAGCAGCATTATATAGCAGAGCCACAGCAAGGAAGCTAGAAGTGTGGGGTCTCAACTCCAACAGCCCTGTTTGTGTCACTTGCTCACCGTGTGTCTATGATAAGTGACTTCATTTCTCTGAGCCCAGGTTTCCCCAGTTTCTCCCTCTGTGAAGTGGGGATAATGACAGTCCCTAGCTCACAGGGCTAATGTAAACATTAAAGAAGCCAATGCGTGCAAAGCATGTAGTCCAGCATCTCCCCAGTGACATCTCAATAGACTAAGCACCAAGGGGCAGGTAAAACACTTCCTGTGTTCAATGCTACATACACAGCATCTTGTAGGATGAATAGTTTTTGGAAATAATCAGCGTTATGATTATTACCAGAGAAAACATAAAAGACAGAGTAATAGCCCAATTATCATTGCTGTGGACATGAAATCATCCATATAGGTCTTCATATTCATCAACATTTCCACATTCATTCAGCAAACTTCCATCAAACACCTCCTTACTGTGTGAAAAACACTGGCTAGAGGCTGATAAAACAGAAAAGAGGGAAATAAACACACTCTTGCCAAGTCATTTTTAAACACTTAAAACACTGCAACCCACGGCAAGAAGGCAAGTGGTAGTCTTCATTGCACATGGCAATCCAGTGTAATCACACACTCCCAGAAACACACACCGAAATAAAAGTGTCAGAAACACTTTCTACTACCCATTGGATCTTGTCCTGTCCTACCTAGCCTGGTCTATTTCATTTAAAGAGTGCTGTTCCCAACCCACTAGGTTGATTTTTCAGTCCACACCATGATTGTGACCTACTGTTGGAGAAACACAGTCTAGTGTGAGCTTGAACAAGATAGGTCTTGACAGATGAGTTCCCCCAGGGCCACGTCATCTTAGCAGTTGTCCATCCTGATTTTGGAAGATGCTTCTGTCCCATATGTCATGGAAGTGCATGGCCTCTCCGTGGCAGCGACTCAGTCTCTCCAGCCCTGCTCCCAGATGAGCAACACCTGCTCACTATCTCAATCCAAGGTTTGATAAACACTTGTGTGACCCCGCCGTCAGCACCTAACCTTTTCTGAGCAAAGTCCATGGCTTGCACCGTGTGTTCCATGTGTACAGATGTCTGATTTGGTCCTTGCAACTACTATGTGCCCATTTTAAAGAAATCAAGACTAGGTGAGGTTAAGAACAAAACAACAGCAACAGAAAATAACTTTGTCAAGGACCCACTGCCAGTAAATGGAAGAAGATGAACTGAACACAGGCAGGCCGAATGCTACACAGCATGTGTACTTTGTGCAAATGGTCGGCATTTCAATGAAACTTTTCCAGGAGAGTAGCTGCCTGTGCATCTGTCACCTCCCTGTGTGCTTACGCTTCTGGGAACACAACTGCGCCTGGCGATCTGAGGCTCACCTGTGTGGTACCTCTGTAGGCAGCAGCCCTGATGTGCAGTATTTTGCTCAGTGGCCCTCAAAGTCATGTTTATATTTGTCATATGAATTCTTGCGATTTTAGCTTCAGACAACAGGGTCCACCAGCTCTAGCCAGTCTGACTGAATGAACACACGAGTAGGTGAAAGACTCCAGCTATTTCTAGACGGGGTACTTTAACATGTAGATGTATGTCCCTTGGCTGCCCCTGCCACTTGCAGATCAATGAGGCACACTGTGAATGCTGTGCATTCTGAAGAGAACGGAGTGTGGGGAGAAGACAGGGATACAAAGCAGAGGGCAAACAGGTCTTCCGGTCTGCCTTGAGGGACGGGTGCATCTCAAGTGTTTCTCCTGCTGGGTTTACTGTGCCATCTGTCATTACTGCCTCTACATTTATTTTCTGAGTAGAACATATCATTCAGAAACAAAAAGAAACCCTTGGATTGGTGTAGCAAAGGCCAACACATTTCGGAGGAAACGCTGTTCTTACTCACCAGGGAAATCAGGGGGGAAGGATGACCTCGTCTTTTGTCAGTCCTCTGACTTTTCAGAGTGTGTTTGAATTTTTTAAAATTTTTTCATTCATTTTGGAGGAAGGCAAAGCTGACATTCACCAGTCCTCCTAAGTAGGAAGTTCAGTCTTAATTCTTACGCTAAAGGCCATTCCTAGTGGCTGCAAAGCCTCAGGCAGATTCTGCGTTTTTTCTGATGCAGTTTGTGGCCAGACCACCTGCCTCTGATCCATTTTGCCAAGAGGACCCAGCGCAGATGTCTTCAGGGACCTCGGACACCTTGATTCTGACTATGGAGCCAGAAGGCCACTCGAGAAAGGAAAAGTCTGGCTGCTGACCTTCTCTGCCACCCACCAGCTCCCGCCTCTGCAATCTGTGTGACTCTTTCGGCCTGCAGAGAAAATGCAGCCTGACTGTGCAGGAGTAGCCGGATGTCTCTCCCTCCCAGCAGGAGATGAAGGGGAAAAAAATAACTTTGAACGAGAATGTTGTCCTGGGTGGCTGCTTTTAGGGTGTGCTGTGAGCATGCAAATGGCTACTTACAGATTTTCCTGAAAGGTCAACACTGCGAGTTTTTGGTGCTCCATGTAAAAGAAGGCCTCTGAAAACCTTCGGACCTGAGGAATAAAATGACGCCAACAATTTAACTCACGGGAAGGGCACTACTCTGCCTTTTAAAGGGAATCTGAGGCCCACAGAGGTAACTGACATGTGCCAACAGGAGGGGAGCTGAGGTTCTGAAACAGCAGTCTTGCTACCCTGCCCACAGCTGCCCTCTCTCATTTATGGCTCTTTGCCCAAACCTGGTCTCTGGACACAGTTTAAGGTGTGTTTATGAATCTGTTCTTGAATTGCTTTCTATTATTTTGTATTTAGGTCTCATTTCTTCTACTATAGAATGGAAAACACTGAAAACAGGAACCAGAAATAAATGCAGGTGGAAAAGAATGTGCAAAGACTGTCATGTACATGTGCCCCCTAAGCACGTGGGGGACTCAGCTCTGTGGTCCTCTGGCGGTATGTGAGAACTGCAGCATCTTTTATTAAGCCTTACTACCTACTCACTGAACCCAAGCTGATGGCAAGGATGCCAGGAACAATCTGAAAACACTTTAAAGGCGCTGGTAATATCCCTAGGGAGAGGCCCTGCTATCATCTGGTCACCAGTGGAGATGTTTAATGACTGGTACAGCAGGGACTGGAGAAGCTAAATAAAGTTCGTTAGGTCTCACTGCAAGTCCACCGTAGAGCCATGATGAGCTCAGGTCTGCAAAAGCCAATCCCAATCTCATTCTGCCCAGTGAGGCCACTATCGTAAAGCTTCCTGGAGAGATCACTGGCGTGTGATTAGGGAACTCGGGCCCTCGGACACCTTACCCTCAAGGTGTGATGCTCCCGAGTGAGATGCATGGTCACTTGCGAGTGCAGAGTCACTGCATCTAGGAACTGGGTCCACAGGGCCATCAGGTGGGAGGCGAGCCAGGCGAGATCCTTACTTATCTGCTCAGCTATCTTCTCTGGGTTGTTCAGCATCTGGAAAGGCAGAAAGGTGGTTGTAAAGGTCCCCTACTCCTCGGAGTGACTCAGTCCTGAAGTCTTACCGATCTCCCTGCCTCTAATGAGGGCCTCTCCTTCCTCTGGACTCGTCTGTATTCCATTCCATTCTGACCTCAGGGCTCAGCAATCACTATACTTCCACTTATTATTATCTACCATTCAGCAGGTAGAAGACCAGGCATTTTTATATGTGCTCCCCATTTAACCCCTACAATTACCCTTTGGTAGTTATTGTAACCATCATTTTTCAGGAAAAGTAAAATGAGGGTCAGAGGGATTAAATAGCGAGCCCAAGGTCACAGAGCTGGGACTCTGCTGCAGGGCTGTCTGACCACAAAGCCATTTCACTAAGCTGTCCTCACACAGCAGGTGACGTAAAGCACCTCCTGAGAAACGATGTTCCTTATAACCACCGAGCACATGGCTAGTGAGGTGGTTTCCACGTGGTGCCCTGCCGCCATCCTGCCCTCATCACTCCAAATTCCTTGAGGAGGACTCCAGGTTGCCTCACCTGAAACTTGAAGAAGCCAGCCTAGACGGGGCCTGGAGCCTTTGGGGGACCAGTTTAGAACTAGAAGGTCATCTGCTTGGGAACACTTTAACTCTGGGGGTGGGAAGAGAGGTCTCTGCCGAGAAGCAGGGAGCCAGTTGTCAGGGAACCAGCTTCACCAAGTGCTTCACGTGCATCTTGCCCGCCCCGGGCGCGCATTTAGAATAAATGGGGACACAAAGGCAAGCACAAAGGCTCTCTCCTGTGGGGAGCCTCACTCAGAGGAGGACATAGGAAGGGGGCTGAACTATTAAGAGTGGTGGGAATCTCTCTGTCATGGAAGCTGCAGCAGGGACTCAAAACCAGAGCCATTTCATACCCGTCTCTATCCTCCTTTGCCCTGTGCCTCAGTGTCTACATCTGCAAAGTGGGTATACGAAGCAAATAAACAGTCACTGGATGTGACAATGCAGGGAGACTAAGTGCAAAGCCTAGCTTGAAACGCCGGATGTCCCTTTTGCTATTCTTGTACTATAGGCTGGTGCTAGATGAAGGCATGTTGGGTGGAGTGTGGCATCTGAGAGTAAAAAGGGGGGGAGGGAGGACTTTGGCACCCAGTAAGGGCTTTTCATACTTGGGTAAATTGCTTTATAATTAATGACTAGCTTTCAGATACAGGGCATCATTCAACTGTAGCCTCTCTGAGCTCCTTCTTCCAAGAGGAAAGGTCAGTCTTTGATGATAACACAAACTATAAAAGTCCAAAATGAGAGAATGGCTCTTACTTTCTTCTGATGGAGGCATTATTTCCAGCACGAGCTCCACTGGGAGGCAGGGGTCAAACAGGGAATGTCTACTCTTGGTTTAGTCCCATCCATGACCAAGGGTTTTAGGAGGCAGGAAAGTGAAGATTGGGTGGGGTGAGTGCGGGACAAGGTCAGCCACTGGAAGGCGTCCAGGCTGGGCATCAAGGCTCCTGGGTGAACCACAGTGGCTTGTCATCAGAGTCTCCAGCCAGTCACTCTCGCTAGCAGCGCCACATGCCGGCATAGCACACAGCGCCTTTTTGTCCCTGAGGACCTCACCTTCCCTCCCTTCTGGCCCAGCTCACGCCCACTGCCTGGCCACACTCACCTGCCCACAGTGGTCAGATCACACACAGCTATTACCAAGTGCAGGCCCTTGGCCAGGCTGTACATTCTCCCTGGAATGCCTTCCCCTTGCTCCTTCCAATGGCCCTTCTCCCTCCCTTCGGCACTTCGGACTTGTCTGTCCTCCACCAGCTGGTTGTGTAAGCAGTCACTGCAGTCCCCTTTGTTTCTGGTGATTCTTTAGGAACGTCTATGCTCCAAGGGTAAGCCTAGCTCCCCTCCCTTGATGTCTACTTGACCTTGCATAGACACTCTGACCATGTGTTGCTTGTTTTACTTCCTGTATCACCCTCTGTGGCCTGCATTTTGAGCTTTAGACCTCTCAGTATTCCTAGTAACTACACACAGTAGCTGATGGATAGTGGGGATTTAGTGAGTCTTTATGGAATATACTGGATGCCTCGGTGATTGGACTCCCCTTCCTGGGCTTCTTACTCGGCCACCCACAGCTCACCCCTCCACTACAGTGGCAACAGGAAGCATGGCACTACTTCCGAGCTCAGCCACTAGAGTGCAAATGAGAAAAAGGAAAGCTACCGTTTAAATGTGTCTTTGGGAAAATTAATTTTTCCCCCAGTTGATTACAGAAATGGCTCCAGATAAGGTTAAGGAAGCTTCTAATAAAGCCACAAGAGGACTTCCCCGTCTCAGAGATGCCTGGGTCTGGGCAGTCACTGGTAACATGCAGGGAGGGGCTTCTCAGGTAAGACCAAGGAGAGGCCCTCCACGCCGACAAAGAGGCGATCCGGTGAAGCTGCCTGAAGACGCACAGCTGCTCACACTTGCTGCCCCCATGATCTTCATCCAGGCCCTGACTACGCTCTCTTGCTCACCCCCACCCCCCACCCCCATGCTCTGATCATGGAGTGTCTGTTACGTGCTGGGGTGTGTTGCACCAAAGATAAATACATCAGGTCCTGGTAGATGCAAGTGGCTCAGTTATGGGTATTTATTGAGCCTACAAAGTTCTGTGAAAGAGATGTACTCTGGGTACATAGAAGGGTCTCAGAAGCCTTCCTGGGGATTATGCCTACATCCTCAGGATACAGAAAAGCCTCCCTACATTCCCTGGACTAGCCAGGTTCCCTGCCATCACAGGCCTCATGGTTACAGAATTGGGCCCTGGCATCAGATAATCCTGTTTAATGGGTCCAAGTCCCCCCAGGCCCTCGTGCCTCTACATTCAAGGCCAGGGCACCTTGAAGACAAGTCAGGCCCTGCTGTCAAAGCCTGGGTCCTCAGAAGGGGTGCTCTGGAACACAGCCGGGCCCTGAAGCATGGGAGGGTTGCAACAGGGGAGGGAAGCCCAGGCTGAGGAGTCAGACTCTGCGCCCAGCATGGTAGTAGGGGGCAAGGAGGCAGCTACATGCCACCTGGATGTGAATGAGAAGGGCACCTCTAGTGGAGTTTCCGCACTTAGACACTCAGGTCTGGAATACCCGGCTGCACTGTCACCTTCCGGGAAGATGTCAGAAATGCAGACTCTCCTGCCCCGCCCCAGATCCAATCAGAATCTACATTTTAATAAATTCCCAGATAATTTATATGTACATGAAAGTCAGAAATTCTACAATGAAACAGAGAAATGGACATTACTCAAAGGAGTTGCCTCCGGCTGAGCTCTCTCACTCCCTGGCTACGTTGGAACACTCTAAATAATCAAAGCTGTGCGGTGCCCTCCCGCTGAAAAATAATAGTACTGGGGACTGTGGCTGGCCAGGAAGAAAGAGGTCACAGTGATCCCAGGGGACAGTCATTTTCTAAAGCTTTAGTTTCTTCTGCTAAGAAACAAGGCTAATAAAACCTACATCCCAAGACCAAAATAAGGATTCAATGAGAAAGCACGTAATATCTTTATCAACAGGATCATTGTCTTGAAACACCTCACAAATATGTTTTTAAGCTTAAGTCAAATAATTAAAAACCCTCTAGCAAGGCAATTGGAAAAAAAAGAAAGTAAACAAAACAAGCAAAAACCAGGCTGCCCATTGGTAGCTGTACATTTAAGCCTGATAACTTGTTTTTAGTGTTTCCTGCTAGGAACATGCAGCTCAAGGAAGGGCCGTCTGACAATCTGGGATCTCCCAGAAGTTCATGGGGCGATCAGGAAGGAATCTTTTGTATGACAGGAAACCCTCTCGCTGAATTTTTAAAGAAGATTGGTGATTGCTTTCTGGTCCTCAGCATGTGTTCAACCTGTTGGTTATCCAAAGCACATGGTGGAATCTCATTAGAACCTTTCCATCAGCTGTTCCGTTCCTAATCAGGCTTCATAGCAGGATCCTTACCCTCTGATCCAACTCTCCCACAACCAGCTTCATTATATTCCATGCTACACCCATCACGGGGACCCCAAGCACCCCCAGTACTTCTGGCCAGTGGGTTCTTACCCTGGGTTGTGAGGACATTCCCTCCCTGCCGCCTGGCACACTCTGGCTCCTTCACCGCTAACCTCACAAAGAGCCAGGCGTGTTCCCTTAGTCGCACACCCAGCCCTACTGCTGCCTGTCTGTGAGCAAGTCCTGTCACAAGAAGCTGTTAGTCCTGGAAAGGTCTATCTTTGTATTCTTAACACATTAGCAAAGTGGCTGGCACTTAGTAAGCGCTTAATAAATGTTCATGAGATTCGCATGGAGCAAACTTACATAGGAACTGCACCTTTACTGTAGAGGTCCATGTTTCCAAACTGTCTTAAACCCGAAACTGTTTCCATGCCCATCCCATCCCACCACGCCGTCCAGCGCACAGACGCAAGCATTCGCGACCTTGAGTGGTTGGCCACTAGGTGGTGCTGTTCTTCCTCGGACGGCTCTGGGGCTGAGGCGTGAGGGTGGTGGGGCGGGGATTGTTTCTCCCACTCCCAGCAACAGGCCAGCCTTTAAAAACCCCGGAGTAAACCGATGCCACCCGGCTCTCCCTACTCCTCCCGGCGGCAGCAGCTAATTTGGCTGCTTTGTACAAAACTGAGCCCGCAGCAAAGCAGTCACTCAAAACCAACGCCCTGCAGCTTGGGGCCTGGCGCTCCGCTGGCTCTTGAGACTCTGAGCTGATTAGACTTTTCCGCAGCCCGTTCTCACCTGAACCACTGCAGGGACCAGATGCGTCAGTAATGCAGCGGCTGGCAGGCCGCCCTGGGCTTGGCCCGGGCCCACCCGCAGGGGTTCAGGCACTTGAAGGAAGCCACGCTCCCATGTCCACTTATGGGAAAATGAATGGGATACCCGAGGCCCCCCCAGCCCTGGCAGGGCCGCTGTAGGGCAGGGCGCGCGCACCGCGGTGGGGAGCCAGCATCCGGTACGCGGCGGTTGGCATTGGCATTGTTTTTGCTGAAAAAATGCGACTAACAGCCCTCGCCGGCCGGCCGAGATGTTCCCTCTCTCTCGCCTTTTCCGCACAGCCCCCAAGGAGCTTCCACGACCTGCGGGGTTAGTCTCAGCCCCGTGTGCAGGTCTCTTGGTTGGCCCCGGCTCCCCCGAGGAACTCCGCCGCCCGCTGCTGCGTCCTCTCGGAGCCCCGCTCCCCGGTCCGCGAGCACAGCTTTCCGCCGCGCCCGCGCCTCCGACGCTAGGCCTGCCCTTGTGCAGAAGGCCGGGCTCCGCCACCCACCCTCCCCGTCCCCAGGGGCTTGGCTCCAGCGCAGCCTCCAGACCCTCAGCGACACGTCCTCCTGGGCTCCAGCCACGCACGGATCCGTGTCCACATCTGCAATGCCCGCGCCCCTGTCCGCGAGGCCCGTCAGGACAGGGGGCCCAGTGGCGGTGGGGCAGTGTGCACGTGTGCGCGCATTTCGTCCCGGGAAACCACGGCGAGGGGGCCAGTCTGCGCCCTGGCCATCTCCAACCGCCGCTCTCCGCTTGATCCGCGGCAGCGCGGCGCACCCACAGGGTGCTGAAGGAGTGAAGGAGCACGCTGAGCCCACCTCCTTTGCGATGTGCGGCATTAACTGCTCCAGCGTCACTCAATTCCTCACCTTTAGTAGCATGTGGCATTGCCATTCACTGCTGCACCCATGCATTCCAGCATTACCAGGAACCCTTCTGGACCCCTCGGCTCAAGAGTGAACAAGTCACCTCGCCAGACTGTGCCCCCAAGGGAGGGGGTTCGCCACTGAGTCCCTAGGACCTAATGCAGGGCCTGGGAGTAGTGGGGACACACATAATGTTCCTGAAATGAATCACAACTCTCCTGCACCAATAGACCAAAAATGCAGTCCCAGGAGAACACTGATCCTTTGTGGCCACAAAGACAAAAGGAACTTGGCCTTTTCACCATTGTCCCTGCCTGGTCCTGGGCAGCACCAGAACCCACTTCACCACGAGGGAAGCGACAAGCCGGAGCCCAAGGGTGACTGCACCGGACAGGGAGGTTATTAGCATGTTCTGTGTCCACGGCACAGACCTCACTTCTGTTCTCTGCCCGAATCTGCTCCCTGGGGCAGCATCTTGGTGGGGAAGGAGGGCCGGGGCTGCCAGGACCAGCTTCTGCCCCTGTTCTGCCAGTACTGGGACTCCGGGCCAAAGACTCAACCTTCGTGAGCAGAGAGCCCTGAATCTTGGTTACCCAAGCACGGAACGATTACTTACCCTGTACAACTGCTCTACCGATTAAATGAGAAAATGCACACAATGCATATAAAACAGCAGCAGGCAGGTAGCCAGCATGCATGCTTATGGGCTGAGAGAAAAAGAGGTTGATAAAAACCAAGTGGCTTTATCCCCATGTTAGATAGGAAAAGAGAAATCCATAAAGATTAAGCAACATGCCTGAAGCCATGCATTTAGCAGGTCCCCCTGGCTCTGATGGGACTACTTCCACAGTGTGCCATGATTGCCCACCACTAGCACAGCCCCCGTCCACCCCCATCAGTGATAAGGAGAAGATGGGCAACAGCCTCTGCCATGCGCGGTGCTGTGGGCACAGAGGCAGTGGACTTGGTGCTGTGTGGCACAGGGGTGCACCCCCTTCCCCTCCACCACACACTGGGTACCCCTGACCAAGTGCTTTGGTAAAGCCCGTGGTCACAGGGAGGTCAGAGGGGACTCGTGGCAAGCACTAGCTGCGTGCCTGCCTGAGAGCCCCTGCCGGCTCCCATGCCCTTGCTGGCGGTGCAGCCATGAGCCGGCTCCCAGAGGGAAGCTTCCAGACAGGCAGGGCAGCCACAGGGAGCCCACAGGAGGCCCCATCTCTGATGCCCCACCTTGTCTCCCTGCTGGTCCCGGCAGGAACGATTGGGACAGGGGTGACATGCAGCTGCAAATCTGCTCCTCAGGCCAACCTCGTGAATTGTGAATTTGAAAGCTAACCATGTGCATTTTTAAAAATTCCTAAATCTAAATTTTCAACGGTTTACCATGGTTTCTTCTTGGCAGGCTGAGCTGTGCCTCCTTCTGCCCATTCCTCTAGCCAGGCTTGGGGGAGTGGGGACAGAGCCTAAGGCAGGCCCAGAAGGAGAGGCCAGCCCTACAGAGCAGACCCAGTGAGCTGGGCACTTGCCAGGTCCTCTCGGGAGCTCTCTGTGGTGCCTTCACAACAACCATAGCACATGGAGAAACAACACAAGGCCCTAACGCCCATCTGGGATCATGCAGCTGCCAGGCAGAAGGTCTGGAGCCTGGGTGCGCACACGGGCCATGTGGCTGCGGAGCCTGGGGGCCCTTTCCAAGGCAGCAGAGCCTTAGAGAGTACAAGCTCTCACCTGGAAATCCTGTCCTCTGCCAGCCTCATCGCCCCCCACCATGCACTCCACAAATGGACTTCGTGTAACTCATGTAGCCCGTTGTCCCCCCTTTTTACGATGAGCAGTGCCTGCAATGTGACTCCCAATTATCCCTACAGGTAGGTCCCTTCCTATAGGCTCATGTCAAGTTGCACTTCCTCCTCAGACTGGTCCCTAACGTCACCCACCCCCTACCCAACCCCCATGTCTGCATTCTGCCTTCTCACAGGAGCCTGCTGGCCATTGACAGTGACATTTCACTCTGCTGACTTTATGACATGATCTAAAGCAGGGCTTCTCATCCCTGGCTGCACATTATACCCACTGGGGGAGCTTTTTATTTCTAATGTTTTTCTTGCAGTTTTATTGAGATATAATTGACATATAACATTGGCAACATACTGATTTGGTATATGTATATATTGCAAAATGATTTCTATAAGAAGATTCATTAACACATCCATCATCTCAACAGTAATAATTTTTTTTCCTGTGATGAGAACTTTTAAGATTTTACTCTTGGTAACTTTCAAGTACAGTACTACAGTCACCATGCTGTACTTTACATCCCATGACTTACTTGTTTTATAACTGGAAGTCTGTACCTTTTGACCCTCTTCATCCATCTCTCCTACCCCCGACCCCTGCCTCTGGTGACCACCAATCTGTTCTGTTTCTACAAATATATCCCACATATAAGTGAGATCATACAGCATTTGTCTTTCTCTGACTTATTTCACTTAGCACGATGCCCTAAGATTCAACCCTATTGTTACAGATTGGCAGGATTTCCTTCCTCTTTATGGCTGAATAATATTCCAGTGTATATACCACATTTTCCTTACGCATTCATCCACCAGTGGACACTCAAGTGGTTTCCATCTCTTGGCTATTGTAAATAATGCTGCAGTGAACATGGGGGTATAGTTATCTCCTCAAAATCCGGTTGCACATCCTTTGGGTTCATATCCAGAAGTGACATTGCTGATCATCTGATAGTTCTAGGTTTAACTTTTTGAGGACTGTCCATACTGCTTCCCACAGTGGCGGCACCGGTTCACACTCCCACCAGCAGTGCACAGGGGCTCCCTTTCTCTGCCTCCTCTCTGGCACTTGTTATCTCTTGTGGGTTTTTTTTACAGCCATTCTAGCAGGTGTGAAATGATATCTCGGTGTGGTTTTGATTGAGCTGAGGCTGTTTTAATAAAAATACAAATACCTAAGCTCCATGCCCAGGGATTCTGTTTCCACCAGTTTGGATGGATCCTAGGCACAGGTACATCTTTACAATTCTAAATGTGTTTCTACTGTGCAGTGAGGGTTGAGAAACACTGATTTAAAAGACAGAGATGTCAATCTGCAGTGAGTCCAGCTTCTGACACTGATGAGCTGTGTCACCAACCTGGGCTACCACACTTTCTTCCATCTTAATTGGCCTCTTGTCATGTAAGAACGACAATACCCACCCAGGCCATCCAACACAATGTGACGTAAATAACAATAACATGCGCTTGCCAGGTATTCATTGAGCACATATTCTTAATACATGCTTGACGCATTTTGGCAAATGCACACACCGGATTCATCGTCATCACCATCATTGATGCTGGCTTTCTGCCGTATCTGAGGCTGTGTGACCACAGCTGCTAGGTCTCTACCACCCTCTGTGAGCAGCACATGGTCACAGTCAATAGATGTTTGTTAAATGTATGGGTACTGGACAAATAAATAAATTCAGTGTGAGTTCCAGGGACAGAGACCTGTAACCTGTTGTTTTTTTTCCCAAAATATCTCACACAGAGCTAAGCACACGACAGGCATCTAGTGGACACTTAGTGATTCAGGTAATGGGACGGAAGAGTATTTCTTCAGTTTAAGATCTAGAATAAGGCCCCAAGTCCTGTCCTTCCTTCTCTGATTTCTACGCCAAGCACACAGCTATGTTCGCCCTGCAGAACTGCTGACAGTCAGGCCCAAGAAGTCAGTGCTCTAATTACCTGTAGCTCTGAGCACAGCTGGGAGAGTGTTTCTTCAACAGCAAGGGACTCTAGGAAGAAAAGAGAAAAAAACACACACAATTAGATGGACACACACGGAAATGCAGCCGTTGCTAACTGTGTGAACGAAACATAGTTTTCAAATTGACATAATGTGACAGAAGGAAACACAGCGCCCGAGAACCCTCCTTCTCTCCATTCCACGGCCTAAAGAGGTCATGTTTATAAAGAGGACAAAGCCGATTTGGAGCCAGGTGACGTCACACTAGGCAGAGGTCAACATCGTCTCATGGATGCTTTTCTGAGAAACAGATGCCCCCTGTCCCCGTTCAAAGAGAACCTAGTACAGGTCAGTGATCCCACATTTTGCAGGTACACACATGCAGGTGCACACATCACACATGGGTGTGGCACACATGGGGCCTGGATTTGTATCCCCGTCGCACAGGTGAATGTGAGGAAGTCTGCAGGAGTGGAGCGGCAGGGCAGAGCCTGCAGAGGCTGATACCGATGTTCACCATTGTCCAGGCCCCCAGCAGGGGAGCCTGTGATCTCGCCATCTGGGATCAGCCTCTGGCCATCAGCGGTTTGAAGCCCACAGTGCCTGTGCTGGAACTCTCCCCTGGCTCTGCGATCCGGTCAGTGGTGTGCACTTGGCCACAGTGTGGCTCTACTCAAAGCTTTGTTACCCCTGGTGAGTGGATGCAATCAATCCCTCAGTGCGTTGCAAGGAGACAACTTATCCACCCGGCAGCTGTGAACCCCAGCAGGCCTAGCGGCTTTTGTCGTGTTGATCTTGGCTGTGCCCCTGGTGTCTGGAATGTAGCAGGTTCTCAATGAAAATATGACAGTGAATGAATAAAGACAAATTCAATTCCTTTGGGTAAGAAAAAGTTAAAGCAAGAAGTCAACCACTCTTGCACAATTGCCATTGCCTCTGAGCTATGAGACTGGCTCTGATTCTATATGTGTCTTTACTGCATGCAGAACATTCGAGTGTGAAAAAAAAATCAGCTTCACTCGTGGGCGATTCAGAGTAGTGTCTGACTTGCCCAGGGTGTTGGAGCCGACAGAGCGAGAGGGTAAGATGTCCCCACAACCCAAGCCGTCACCAGTGAGGCCACATCTGCTCCTTCGCACCACGTGCCAGGCACCACACGCCAGGGCCCTGAGGGACACCTGCTCTCAGAGACCCCAGGTCTACTGGGGAATAAACCCTTGTTACAAGGTGTGCTCAGTGCAATAATGGACAAAGTACAAGGCCAGAAATACTGCCCAAGACACAATTGATTCAGGCAAGGTCTAGAGGGACAGGTAGGGAAGTGTAAGTACCCAGCAGGAATCTTATTAACCTGGAAAACCAGGCTGAAGACCTGGCCTCAGTTTTAGCAAAGGGGCCTCATTGGAGAAAGCTGAGCAGAATCACAACATGGCCCATTTAAATGGGTGTGACATGATATAAAGGACCCGGCCTCGGAGTCACTGCAGGATCTCTGCACCATGCATCGCTGTGTGGCCCTAAGTAGTCATTTCACCTCTCTGAGCTTCTTTCTGGTTCTATCATCTGTCAATCAAAAGGGATTCAGGCACAATGGTCTCCATGATGCCTGATGATATATGTGCAAGAAGCAATTCATCCCCAGAAACTCATTATGATGGCTACTAAGAGAGTTCCGCCAAGCCATCCAGATTAAAAAGTACACATGTAGTTCTTTCTTAGGATTGCTTTACACTCCTTTAAGTTGCCATCCTGTCACTACTGCCTAATTATGAAAAGGCAATTTCTCTTAGCCACTTGGCACAATGTACAACCAATGCCAGGAGGGTAGTAGGTGTCCCACAAAGGCCTGGGTGAAGGAAGGAGGAAGAGTGCCTCAAGGTGTCCTCCTTTTCTTCCCACATCCGCACACCCAGGGTTCTGTCCCGCTGCAAGGACAGGGAGAGCAGAAAACCCTACCTGACCAGTGCGCACTGCCGTGGGGGTTACAGAAGCTCGCCACCTGTGCCCAGGCCCCAGCCCAAAGGGGAGGGTGGCTGCCGGGGTTAGCGTGTCTCTACACCCGGCCTTACCCAGCTCCACGCGCGGCACGTCAGGGATGTCCATCATGATGCTCAGGAAATGGGCGCGGAGCCCGCGGTGGGCGCGCAGGAGCAGGGCACACAGCTCCCGGTGCCACTTGTAGGCCCGCTGCATGCAGTTCTCCGACGGCACGTAGAAGCTCCCCTGTGGGGGAAGCGGAACAGCAGCTGAGGGCTGCGTGCTGGTCCTGGGGAAAACTGGGCGGTGGTTCAAGAGGCCAGGAAAAGAGAGTGCTTGAGTCTCCTCCTGTCTCTCTGCGGGGAAAACACAGAATCCACCAAGCCTCTAGCCTATCATGCTGTTCAGATTAAAACAGAAACATCAGCAGTGATAGTGGTACTAATAAAAGATGATGATGATGACAGGGACAACAGGCAGGCCACACGGGTCTGTGAAAACGGGACCTGCTCCCACGCCACCCCCTCATGGGGGCAGGGTGCACTACAGAAGACATGGACACAGGTGGGCTCCTGTGCACGGGGAGATGAGGAATTTAGAATGACCCACCCTCGCAGTAGGTGAGTCAGGAGCACACAGGCCTGAAAAGGAGAAGAATGCATCTCTGTAAAACAAGAAGTGAGGGTAAATCATCAGTGTGGAAATAAGAGGCTCTGAGCAGGCGGTGTCAGAATGCCCTGTACGTTGTGTTTTGTTTGTGGATCTAGGACACATTAAACTGGAAGAATTACACAAATGTGGTCCATCTGATGAGGAAATGATGGCGAAGTCCGAAATTTACTTGAGCCCAAGGCATGTTGAAAAAGAAGAAACAGGACAGTTGTGACTTCCTGCAAACTCAAGAGACAAGGACGTCTTGGGGCACACGTCTGGGGGGATGCAGAGGTAGGCATCCTGGCATCCTGGAGGGGGGCTTGGCCACAGAAAGGGAGGCAGAGGAGTTGCAGGGACATAAGAGTGGCCTTTCCATCCACAGCTCACGTGGACGTGAACCGAGGGAGCAAAGGGCTCTTCCTGAGCCTGCACTGCCTTGCCCATCCTTCTGGAAGACAGTCCAGGAGGGTGGTGGTGGAATTCCACCCTCTTGGCTTTTGTGAGTTGGCTGGTATGTGGGAGCTGGGGCAGCCTACTCATTTGGCCCCCTTTTTCCTTGATGCCACCTAAGAGGATTGAGTGGGTCCAGTGTGGGCAGGACAGGTCTGATGGGGGTCAGCAGCCACCTGCACTTCACCCGCACTCCCCATGCCGCCACGGTGGCAGGCGGTGACGGTGGCTGTACTCACTCTGATGTCTGCGTCATGATGGGCTTGCGTGTGAGGCAAGCTGCTACAAATCAAGGAACCTGCGTGGAAGCGTCAGGTCTGCTGTACCCAGCTCTGAGATGGTGCCAGGTTAGTTCCCAGGAAAAAGTCTCTGAGACAGAACTATGCCGACCAGAAGGTCAAGGGGTGCACTCTCAGGAGAGCAGGATGGGGCAGGGGGAGGAGCTGCACTGTCCCCTCATGGAGGGACAACAGAAGCCTCAGTGTGCCCCACTGGGAGCTCCGGACCTGCAAAGCTGTCTGGCCTTGGGTTTTTGTGCCCATGCATTGCCCATTACCAGGTGTAGGTTACCCCTGGGGAGGAGGTGTGACCTTGGTCATCAACCCTATCAGACAGGGCAATCTCCAGAAAGCGGCTTGGTCAGTTGCCTTTGGCCACCAACATCCCCAGCAGTGTGAGGAAGGAGTGACTCAGGGCTGGCATGGGCATGTGGACAGGGCGCCATAAAATGTACGGAAGGAACCCTCCCCAGAGCTCCCTCTATACCCCAGGGCCTCGGAGGAAGCCTGGCTTTGCATTATGAGGTCACCAGATCCCTTCTGATTTGAACTTACAAGAGACATTCAACAAGGTTTGGAACCAAAAGACATTTCCATTTCATAAGCAGAAAATTCAGCCAGCTAGAACACCTGTGCTCATGTGCACCAGGCACACAGGTCACCCCTGCACTTCCACGTCTCATCTCTCCTACTGTGTTAAAATCAGAAGTCCATATAGCTGTGGAAAGACTAGCAGAGCTTGTGCATGGCCCAGAGTGTACTCTGGACTCCCCGGGTCTATGAAACAAGAAGAACCCACTGTTTATGAAGCATCTGGATACTCCTTTATACTTTATCTCATCTGATCCTTAACAATACCATACAAGGCAGATCATCTAATTTTGATTTTCAAAATTAGAATATAGATATGGTAAAAAATATCAATATTACCAAAGGAAACACAGTATAAAGTGCCTCATTCTCCAGAGCCCAAAAATTTCTTGCGGATATTTCTAGAATACTTCCATGTGAATATGTGCATATGTGTATTATGTACATTTAATATATGTACATGTATCCTGAAAACATACACAGATGTATCCACGGGTTGGCGAATGCTCTGGACATTTCTCTGCTCCTTGCTTACACCATTTGTTCCCCCACAGTTCTGATAAGACCGAACAATCAGTGATAGGATCTCCAATTCCTATTTTAGATATGAAAGATGGTGGCTCAAAGAATCAAATGACTTGTGCAAGGTCACTGTTTTACTTGCAGAAGAAACGATTCTCAAGCTCAGGTGCTAAGTGGAGGCCATCCTAAGCCACGTGTGCCCCTGGCATTCATGCTTGGCAGAGGGTAGATGCCAGCAAGGGTGGACTGCTTTGACTGAGGCATCAAGTCAGGTCCTGCAGCACCTCTGTTGGCCATGATTCAGCAGAAATGGAAGCATCTGGGAATCAGCAAGGGCATCAGATTCAGCGGCTGAGTCCCCAGTCTGTGCCTCAAGCCCCCAATGCCCCTTTTTCTCCCCTTGCTACCTGCTCACAACGGCATTTTCTTACCACCAATGCCTCCTTCAGAAAATGCTTCAGAACCCATTTCAGAGAGCAAGGGATCTATGAAAACTGTTAGTAAGTTCGACTTTTAAAATTAGATAGCAATATCATACAGATGTTTTTCAAGAGAGACGCAAGGAAAACTGGGGAATCTTCTTAGGGCTGATTCAATATGATCACTGAGACAATATGAAGTCAAAATGTTAATACAAAGAGAAATTGTGAAAATACAATATGGCTTAAGATTATCAAAAACAGAACAAAACGAAACAAACCCTGTTCTCCATAAATTACTCAATAGCACAAGTTTTTGAAAGTGAATGATATGCTGTAGAAAATCCCATTAGCTGGCCCTCCAGGCCTACTAATAAGAGCCAGTGTGGAAGAGCAAAACACCTTCATCAGGACTGGACAAAGTGGGGACAAAGTGGATTGAAAAGGCTTGCACAACCTCCCCACCCCAGAGAAAGTACATTTTAGCATAACCCCCTCCCAACCGTCTGCAATGGGAACCCTAAATAATACACAAGAATCAGTGTGGGGCAAACAGAACATGAGGCTTTGTGTGAACTCCCAGTGGGAGGCTCTGGTCCAGGGCCCACTTCACAACAGGCACATCAGGTGTAATGAGGACATAGCTATGACGTGGCCCTTTAGGGTTGCTGATAAGGATTAAACACGGCTATCAGGTAAAATTTGGATTTAGGCAATGTCTCAGGGTAATGTTGGGGTGCATGGAAAGGGACTGTGTTTATGTAGGTCGCACTCGTTGACAACCTCCAGGAACATATCTATGGATGATGCAGCTCAAACATTGACAGTGACGAATCTGGAAACCTAAAACTGGATTTTACCTGAGTTGAAATCCTTTGGGGGCCCTGCTGGGTTTGATTAAAACATCTGGAGTCAAACAGGCCTGCACCTGTTCATGAGGGGCCCCTCGCTGATGGTGTGACTGAGCTGGCCCCTAACAGCTGAAGTGTCAGTTCCCTAATGTGGGAAGGGGGATGATGGCATCAAAGTGCTTAGCAGAGTGCCTGGATTGTATCAAGGCCTTACTAGCGATAGTTAGGAAGTTTTGCTTTTCACTTCATGTGTTCCCTAACAGAGACAGCTAAGCTTGCTATCAACTCAGACCTTCCTATAAACACCTCTTGAATCTCCATCTCTGCATCTAACTCCTGCCCTGGGCTCTTGATCCATTCCAAACTGCTTGGATGGCTTGCCTATTGTTGCAAAAGCATTTAAAAAGGAGCTTATGACTGTCCTACTTACAGGATCCTTCTCTCCCCCTGGTCTTTGTTAATGGACCCCCTCTGCCCAACACTGAAGAAAGCCAGGGAGATCTAGACTTCAGATTTCTGTCTCACCTAGAATCTGTTAGGAAATCTTGAAGATTCTACTCTTCAAACGCTGTTGTCTCCGCCCCAGTTTGAGCCATCTGCATCACTCCTTTTAATTATTAAAACAGCCTGCTCATGGGCCTCACTGCTCGGTTCTTACCTTCCATCTGCAGCACTAGAGTGTGCAAATTGTTTTACAGCGTTGCCCACTGTCTAAAGATGAAGATCACATTCCTTAGCGTGGCGTTCAAGGCCATAAGCCCTGACCACAGTCCCAGGCCCATCTGCCACCTCTCGTTTCACTCCAGAGCTCTGCTTGCCTTTCTTCTTTTAATGGCCTGTCACCCTGCTGCCCAGAACTCACCACCGAGACTCAGGTGGAATGTCATGACCCCTGTGGAACTTCTCAACCACTCTCTCCTCTCAGGTCCCCTGCACATACCTCATTAGACCACAGTGAGTTCTCGATGTCTCTCTCCAACCCTCCCTGAACACCACGGGGGTAGAAACCACGAGTTACTTGTCTTTTAGCCTGCAACACCTGACACATGGAAATTCAATGATTCCATAAACAATGGAATGAATGAATGAATGAACGGATGGATAGATAGATAGATGGATTGTAGCATCCTCTAGAGGTCTCCACAGACAACAGAGACCTGATTAACACAGCCTTGGACTGAAGGTCCAAACCACCCTTAGCCCCCACTTTAGAACTGGGGCTCTCACACAGTTTGGGCATTTGGGTGTGGATTTGCTACACTGCCACAGTAATCATGCCATAGATGTTTATGCCCTATATCAATATACTTATTTATACTCTATATGAAATATGTACAAAATCTGATTTTACCTGGCATGTGGTGAACATGGATAACTTTTCATTTAACTCAAACATACCCATAAGATAAGATGTCTTTCTGGATAGACACATCAGTACACCTTTTGTGTTACAATTGTGGGAGAGCGCATACATGGAACTGCTTTTTATTATTCTGGATGTTTACCTGAAAAAGGAATGCAAGCTGAATCGGATCTCAAAATCTAGAGTTCTTTTAACAGCAGCTACTGTTCATTTTATACCTGCTGTGTTTGGTACTATTTTTTGGCCCCTGGATTCCTTTTTTTGGTGATTTAGTCAGTTTTTCATTATTATCTCATGTTTAACCAATAAGAAAATAATAACTGTAGCAGCCTTAATAAATTGCCAGCATTTATTACTTGACTCCATTAAATGTCAGGCATTATTTAAGTGCTTTATGTGTATTAATCATTTAATGCGTATGCCAACCCCATGAAATAAGTACAATTACCCATTCCCTGTTTTACAGATTGGGAAGCTGAACCCAGAGTGGGAAATAATGTTTGCAAGCCACACGGCAAACAAATGGTGGGTCAACAATTCAGGCTTGGTCGGGTGCTGGAAGTCACTCACTCTGAGCCTCAATGCTCAGCTTCCTCTTTGAATTGACCTTCAGAAGCTTTAATATCCTGTGTTCATACACCCAGGAAGCCGAAAAGTTCAGTTCCTAACCCACATTGGGGCCCAACGTTAAAAAGGAAACCAGCTACATAAATTACAAAGGAAATCAAAACCCCCTTGTGCCTAGCCACAGCTTTGCAACTAACTAGATGCAATCCAGAAAAAGTTTTAAGTTTTTGATCATTTATCTTCGTTAGCAATAAATTGCTGCTATCTTAGTCAGCAGTTCCTGAATTTTGTCCCTTAACACAGGGTCGTGGTGACTAGCTGTGAGTTAAACTACTACTATTTTTTACCAAAAATAGTTAAAATACAGAAATCACAATGTGATTTCATATTACTATGACTTAATATGACAAAGTCACCCCCATCATCCTCTTACCAACATCCCAGAGAGCTTCCCTGAGCGGCTGAAAGAGGGGGTGAGAGCTGTCAGGCTTGAAGCAATGGATGGGTGTGGGGTGGGGAGGTGCTCACCCAGGCATCTGCCCCATCCTCCACGCATGTGCTTGCGGCCCCTGGCCTGCACACGGCTCCCGCGCTAGACAGAGCCAACAGGAGACAGTGCAGCCATCACGGAGGTCTACACAGCTCTGGCCATGGAGGAAGAACCCTTGGTCTTGCGCTCCTCTCCCTCTGTACGTTTGTTACACCCCCACCTCACCTCCTGGAAGTCAGAAACCAAATGTTATTCATCTTCTACACCCGGCTACTGTCACATGGAGGGCAATGCATCCATGTGGTTGGCTGAAGCGACAGAACAGGAAGAGGCGAGTGAAGCTGGAAAGATGCCCTCAGCTCTCCAGAGGGCCGTCTGGGGGCATACTGCACGAGGTCCACTGAGTGGGGCCAGAGCCTACGGATGGGGGGCCGGGGAAGGCACGCGCTGCGGATGAGGACACTAGCTGCCCACTGTTGATTGTCTTCATCATGGAGGGATATCCATGACCATAATATTCCCGGCTCTGCCCATTATTAGGCAAATGGTGAGTCTGGGCTTAGAAACCAGGCTCTTCCCTGTCTTCCTTTGTTAGTAGCAGGTTGTCCTCAGCCCTGGGAGCGCCTGGGAGAGGAGATGCACTGCGAGGGGCCTGCACCCACCTAGCACTGCTGTGCCTGACCAGGTAAGTGGTTAATTCTAGAGTTCAGTATCTGGGAGTGCCCTTGATCCGAAGATGTAAACCAAATGACCTCATATCTTGGTTTGCTATCCAATTTCTATTATTATGTTGCCTAATTCTCCCATGGGCTCAGCACCCAGTGTGGGAGAAGGTGCTGTGTATCAGTCCCCCTTCATGCCCACCTGCAGATTTGATCTCCTTTGACGACGAGGCCACTGGCATAATGCCACCTTCGTGAGGCAGACTGCCCCGGAAGTGCCGTAGGACCTGGGTGCCAGGGCCACAGGGAGTGGACAGGGAGAGCTGGTCAGGGTTGGGTAGAGAATCACGATAGACCCGTGAATTCCTGTCACTACTTTGAGAAGTCCCAGGGGTGCCAACAGCAGCAAGCGAAGGCAGGGTGCGCGAGGGTCCCACCTCCTCGGAGCTTCGCTGCTCACGGCAGTTATATGACGGGTTCTGGAGGAACTCATCTGAAAAGGAATTCCTTAGTTAAAACAATGAAGTTTGAAAATCACTGAACGAAGCCCCTCGAGTCGTCAACTGTTCTACATGGTCCAGAAGACAAGGACAAATTGTGTGGCTGAAAGTTTTCATTCCTGATTCCTAAATATTGTTTTCTTTCCTCACTGTTCGTAAGCCTGTTATAAACAATGATTTTTACAAAGGTAACTTTTTTAGTTCAGCTTGCGCCCAAATCACTGGAAGGTAACCTTTTTTAAAATTTCCATATTGTGGGGCAAAACAACAGAGTTCCTTAAAAATTCAGTGGACTTGAAGTTACAAGAATAACCTGGGGTCAAGAGGTGAAGTCCAGACCTTGCTACTCACTGGCTCTAATACCTCAGACAGGCACTTAACTGCTCTCCTTGGGTGAGTAAGGATAAAGGAGATAGTTCTTTGCTTTTCATAATGCACACCAAACATGCAGCACACTAGTCTTACGATAATTGTTGGTAAGAATTCCATATGAATCCATCTACTTATGCACTTAAGGGCTGCAGTTTTCTTTAGTAAATTGGTTAGTTGCCATGTCACCAAGAGATTTTGACCTATTTAGAATTTTAAAAAGGAGTAACTTGTTAGAATTAGATAAATTGATACAGTGACTCAATAATCATAACCATCTTGTAGTTTCCTGAATACCCGTGTTGTATATTTGGGGTGAATGCATATATTGTTGCAACTGCTCTATTCAAATTAGAGAACTATATTTTCATATTAGAAGAATTATGATTAAGAGTCCCACTGGGTTTTTTGTATTCTTCAGCAGGTCAGTGGGGTCAGTCCCGTTCTGTTTACCATCGCAATCCTAATTTCTCTATATTTGGTGCTTCCTGTGTGCTCATCACTGTGCTAAGAACACTGGAGCTCCAGAGATTAATAGGCACTGCCCATGCCTGGAAGGAAATATTCGCAAGTTTGAGGCACCAGGGACACAAATGCTTAACTGCAGTGTACTATGATAAGTCATACTAGAAGACACCTTAGGATGTCATAAGTGTAAGGGTGTGGGTAAGGAGGGCTTCCTGTAAGTGGTGACACTGCAATTAAATCTTGAAGCATTAGGCAAATGAAGAAGGGATGAGGGGGTATGTGCCAAGCACAGAAATCATCATAAACAAAGACACAGAGTGAACAAATAAGTAAAGTTTGGGGACATACAATCAAGGGTAGACTGCTAAGGTAAATGGGTCCAGGAGAGAAAGTAGGAGATAATGCCAGACAAAAATTGGAGTGTGTTGATGGAGTGTTGAGTGATCATGAACAAAAATCAATTCTCAGGCCCTCAAAGACACATGAGAAAGGTACAAAATGTGTGCCAGTGTGCCTGTCAAGAGGTGGTGGGGAGGCACGTGCGAAGGCTCTCCTCCATGAGTCTGGCCTCTAACTCCTCATCACATCTGGTCCAGACGCAGCCATCTGAATAGTTGAAATCATGATGTAAATTTACAAAAGTGTAATGGCCCAGAAAGGTTACGGGAATGGCCCTTGGTTCCATAATTACTAAGAGACAAGTCCAGGATTCCGGAACAGCACAGACTTGCTCTGTCATCCCACTGGGCACTATGTTGAATTCATCAGAATCAAAGCCTTCTCAACTGAGGGGAAGACAGTGAGAAGGACGAAAATGAAACCAACAGAAGGAAGGTGCAAAAGCCATCAAATACACTGGATTAATTGCGCAGTGTGTGGAGGGTCAAGCCATTATCACTCCCATCCCAAGTGGCCAGTCCAAGATCATAAACTCAGGCATATCAGCAGAATAAGTGAGCTGTCAATCTTCGTCCCTTGGGACATGGTGACCATTCTACTTTGGAAGCTAGAGAGATTCACTATTGTCTCTTAAAGATGTAAAATTCTATGTTTTTGTGATTTTAAATACAAACACTATTAAAACCTTCAACTGACCCTGGGGCAGACATAGAGTCAGCATCTATAATTACTCTCCTATTTTGAGTTCTGAGACCTCTCCTGTGAATTTGGTCCTTGTCTCTCTTTTGCTGGGCTTTTTACTCAGCTTGTTCTGTAGGGAACCTGCAAAGTAGAGCAGAGCAGACCAGCACTGAAAAGAGATTCTACGTTCTCATCACAAACATACCGATACTCATGTGGCTCCTTGTAAACCACCTTATCTGAAACCCACAGTGAACCTGCAATCATATCTCAGAGCAAGATGAGGGAACAGAGTTCACCAGCTATCCCAAAGTCAGACAGCTGGGATGGACGTGGTTATGACCTGAACAAGGTGTGCCGGATCCCAGAGCCCACATGCCTCGCCGCTACCCAGTCTTTCCTCCCCAGGAAGAGAGAAGCTCACTGAACGTGAGCCCTCTCTTGGCCCCGAAGAAAACATATCAGGCTCATCTGAGAGATTATTAAAGAAAATGGGAGCTCACTGTATCAATATTGCCATGTTAGAATGTTTAGTTCTAGAGGAAACCAGCTCAAAGCATGTCTGGCTTTGATTGCCAATGATCATAGCAATGGTTGAAACAAAAATAAGAGCATTTGCCTAACAGATAAAAGTTTATCTAGAGCTTTTACATCAACCCTGTAAGGCACGTGTTATTATCATCAGCCTCATTTTATGGATGAAGAGACAGGGTGGCAGATCTCTCAAAGTGTCAGGAATTCAGTTTCCCACACACGAAAAAAAAATCAAATTTAGTCAACCAAAGATAATGTGAACACATTCTAAATAAAATTTGGATCATGTCTATGGCCATGTTGTAATCAAATATTGCTGTGCGTTTTTAGTAGCTGCACTTGCCTGAGGGGTCAAAATGAGGTTGTTAAACTCATGGTCACCAAAACAATAGCATTGAGATTGCACTGCAACACTTCGTGATTGGGGCCAGGGCATTTGCCTTATTTGCGCTGCTGGTCTGCGTTTACTGACTGCAATACTGCAAATGATTTGGCAATACTCTGTTGAACACAGTGAGCACCTGTCACCTGGCATGCAGCCTGCCATGTATCTGCAGTCATGTATTGCTCACCTCTCACAACAGCAGCGACCTCCAAGCTACAGGGTGAGGCAACCAAGATAGGTAAGGGAGGCAGGTGCTGCGAAGAGCATTTGGCAAAGAATAACCACCGGGCAAGATTCAGTAATTGGAACACGGAAAAGGGCATGCAAGCCAGGAGACAGAGCAGAGTTCCAAAGTGCAAAAATAGCATAAATTTGGGGACCAACAGGCACAGTGACAGTACTGGCCACCACACTGGACAAACACTGCCTCCCTTTCCTCTGAGCAGAGGAGATCTGGGCATAAAAAGAGGAAATAAGAGGGAAGCAGAACACCACTTCCATGCAGTCTTCTACACACAGGTGACCTCTTGCTTTTCAGGGTTGTAGACAGAGCCTTCAAGTGACACGAATGGGCCATTTCACAAATGCGTCTATTAGCAAGGACTCTGCAAACAGTAGATTCTCTAATTAAGGTGACTCGAGTCAGTGCATCATTCCAGTGTAGAAAACACTTAACACGCCACATTTGAAGATGCTGAATCTATTAAATCATTTTAGCTTTGGCACTCTCATTTCCTAGTATTTTACCTCCATTTGTTCTTCATTAAAAGCAATTCCCCAAACTGTGTGCAATGTTCAGCGATTTTGTTAGCAGTTGGCAAATTGGATTCTTAATATTTAATCTAATTGAGAACAACATTACACAACTCAAACCGAACAAGCAATTTAGTTGTCAGATCATCATAAAACCCCAAACACCTTCCTGATGTATGTCTTTATTTTTACAGTCTAGCTTGAAGGAAGGCTCTTATTTAAAGAAAAAAATTGCTATCTTTCCATTCAATCAGATTATATATATATCTTAAAATTTACCAGTCACTCTGATATTGTAAAAACCTGAGTGATCATGTGTTGAGTGAAATGAGCATGTCCTCCCCTGCCAGGGTCAACCTGAGCTCAAACACTGGCTTTGCAAATTTTAACTCCCTCAGGACTCCACTCCACATGTGTAAATACGGAATCCATTAAAGATAATTTTATTTTAGCATGAGATATCATCCATAATATAAAATTGTTGACAGGATTAGTTATATGATAAATCAGATGCCGGGCAGATATTAAGTGTACTATAGAGTCAACTCCAAAAATAATAGAACATGAATAAGCAAATAATAATTATCATTACCATTATTATAGTTAATTCTATTATTTGTATTAATGCCATTATAGTATTAATAGAATGTCATCTGATAATCAGATCTCACTCATGAGTTATAGGGAGCAGGCGGACAGAGCCGTGGGGGAGGTTGGTTATGTTTTGCGTATTAGCTTCAATTTGATGCAGTTCCTCTGGGTTCTATTTTGATGCCTTTGACTCTTTGGGACTTGGCTGCCTAATCTGGCAGAAACTATCACGTGGAGATCGAACTTCAGCTCGTTGAGGATCGAATACTGAGAGAGCTTTTCTCCCTTGCAAATTGTTGCTTGTGGATTTAAGCAAGAGAGTCATAGATGCAAGAGGCGGAAGAGATGGGAGCAGACTGGGGGGCTGCACAAAGGAAGGAGGTCTGCTGGACTTGCCCCACGGGCCGGAACCCGCGTGAGGTCACCAACAGGGAGGCAGCACCAAGAACAGGAAGGGCGAACAGGAGCCCCTCACAGCCCGGGGACTTGGGGCTAGCAGGCTGCTCTCAGCCTCACACAGGACCCTCACAGGTGGGCCTCTGCCTCCTCACACAGCCTCTCTACTCCGGAGCCCAAGGCCCGGCCGCTCCCCCTGCGGTCTCTCCTTGCTCCCATACCAGCCTGCTCTGTCCCCGAAGCCAGCCTCCCAGCCCCTCCGGCCCGCACTGTCCTCTCTGCCTTCGCTTTACCAAACCCACGTCACAGACATCCTACGAAGAGAGAATTTTCCTCTCCTTGGGAACTAGTCTGTCTTTTCTTCTACTCAAATGTTACTTTTAGTGATCCCTCCACACCGAGGCAAGAGAAACATCTTTCAAGAAGAGTTGTGGAAGTTTCTGACCCTGATTACAGTGGACATTACTACAAACAGCCATATTTTAGAATTCAGTAGAATACACACACAAAAAATTGCTTAGCATGATGCCCACGTCACTCATGGATATACATGTATTCCCAAATCATTTATTGGGTGTTGTTTCTGGGCTAAGCTCTGAAGCAAGCAGAGTGCTGTTAGAAAATAAAATCACTGGTACCTCATTTCTGGATTCAAGACCCTGTAGTCGAGTGTGTGGTAGCACACAAATGAATGGTTTGGGTATAGCTTGCTCAGTGTTATGACACATTTATACACAGATGCCACTGTAGCACAAAGACAGGCTTCTGTGTCATTCTTGGGCCAGCCAGGAAAATCCCATGTAAATGACCCTACTATTTCAAAGAAATAGGCAGATAGAAAATAGGAGGATACATATCCCAATTCCATAAAATTGCTATGACTTTAACATAGCATACATGCAGGAATAAATGAGAAGCTGAATTTAGATTTAGAGGCATAAGGCAGCATGTTTGTTTGCCATAATGGTCATTTTAAGGTTCATCACCTCAAAGTAGCCTAGGTCAGAGAGAGTAGAGGGAAGACGGTCAGAGGAAAGAGTTGAGTTTAGAAGCTGGGCACCACCCAGGTAAGAAGCAATGAGAGCGTCTGCTAGCGAGGAGGCAAGCAGATAACGCGGGCAGAGGCGTGAGCAGGGGCTGGAAGAGGGTAAGGCGTCAGTAGAGCTTAGCTAATGTTACTCTGTGAATTGGAAGTATGGAGTCTGAGCGTTAACCATGGAACCACATCCCTTTTGTCTCTAGGAACTCACTGCCATGATCACTGGGGACAACTTGTCTGTAGCAAACTGAGCATTGAACTTGGAGTCTTAAATCAGCATCTAAAAATTACCATAATGACAATCCTTTTTTCCTTACATTTTTTTTTAAATTTTGGTATCATTAATATACAATTACATGAGCAACACTATGGTTACTCGACTCCCCCCATTATCAAGTCCCCACCACGTACCCCATTACAGTCACTGCAAAATGACAATTCTTGCAAGTCACTTCCCTTGTCAAGTTCACCTTCTGTGAGAGGGGTTATCAAATCACAGGGGAGCCATCAGTAGTAAATGAAACAACCCAGGGAGGGCTTGGGACAATGAGCGGGCTGTGGCTGCCAGCACCACCTTGCCAGCACTTGATGCATTCATGCTGATTCTCCCAGAGGCAATTAAGGCTCCTGGGCAAGTGTGCAGGGGCCCGCCTCGCCCCAGCCCCGCCCAGGAGAGGCTCAGACCCTACAGACAAGGCTGGGCAAAGGTCAGAGTGCTCCCTGAAGCTGCCAGCAGACATCCTGGCAGCCATGAGCAAGAGTCAGCTTTGCTGGAAGTCCTCTTGGGAAAGAGAATGAGATGGATACAGAACAGGATTCTCTGTGGACCCCAGAGAGAGCAGCCAATGAGGCAGAGGGGATCCCAATGGCCAGTGAGGACGGAGGCTCGTCTCTAGTGCTAAGCACTGGCACAGCCTAGGCTAAAGAAAAAGGTGGTCAGCACAGTGCGGGGTCTGCACACAGGGAGCCTGGCTGCAGCTGGAACAGCCTAAGACAGGATTCCAGAAGGGCCTCCTTATCATGTCTACTTCAGGAGCAGGGGCGCAGGGGGGCAAGCTGGCAGGGAGTGGCTTGTTGCCAATAAAAATATAAGTGACAAGGACGCAGTCGTCTGTGAAGATACTACCAATATGATTTACTACTGCTGATGGGGGGAGTGGGTGTTCAATAAAAAAGGACGTTACCTAATCCACCCAGGGACAGGATTTTTCATAACTTTTACTAACTTTCATACATACATTTCTTGAGTGTCAGATGCTCACACAGATGCTGAGGGTTACAGAACAGAAACATGGTCTTCCTCCGTGGCCCCTCCGTCTAGCAGGGAAAACCGAGCACCACTGCCAGTGGGATGAGTATTGTACAAAGGGGGAAGTGAGGGCAGTGAGGCCTGTAACCTGCCCACGTTGTCAGGCAAAGCCTCTTTGGGCAATTCACATTCATTTTGGATCCTGAAAGATGGACCAGGGGAGGATGGAAAAAAGAAATCTGTGATGTTCACTCATTTGATAAACACATACTCAGTCCTGTTATGTTTCTCAACAAGATACACTCGAAAAACACAGCAGTTTCTATAGTGACTGAACAGCTAGTGATGGAGAGATGTCAGAGAGTGAGAATCAGCTGCCTAAGTTCTGATTTATTCATGGGAAATACTGACCCGGATGACATGACAATAAACATGTTCACACAATATAAACCATGTCTTTGGTAGAGAGCCACAGTACTCACCATTTTATAAAGGGGGAAACTGAGTCATGAGACCACTAGTAAGTCGCAGAGCCTACTCAGGTCCTCAGCTACCGAGTCTACCAACTTCTCCCCTTCCCAGCTGTGCAAATTTGGGCAAATACCACCACCTGTCAGCGCCTCAGCTCTGTGATGCACATCTGGGTTATAACAATGGCCACCTCGCCCTTGCGACAGTGTCCCCTGCCATCTCTCTTCATCAAAAGCATCACATCCATATGGCACTTAACCAACATGCTCACTTAGGTCTAGGTCTGGAAAATATTTCCACAATCTATAGTTACATAAATGGCACCTAAATGGACAAGGGTGTTTTATGGCTAAAAAACCTATGTAGGTCCAGATGCTCATATCCAAACAACCAAATGCTCTCATTGAAAGAGCTCTAAGCTGAGAGCAGGAAAAACTGATTTGGGGGTTCCAATATCCTGCTCTACATAACGGGGGAAACAAGCCTTGCTCTGGCCTGCCTTACAAGGCTGCTCCTTGGCTCCCCCATCATCCTTTATACAAGTGTCCCCCCGTCCCCGGACTGGATCCAGCCATGTCAAGGAAGACTCAGCCCTTTCCTCGGGGCTTTTGTAGCGATGGAGATAGACTGAGGAAAAGAAGCCAAACGTCGCTGTGAGAGAGCCATGGGAGGACCCAGGAAACCTGAGGGCGTCTTCTGGGTAGGCTCCTAAGTTCAGGGAATTCTTGTTTCTATAACAAAAAAATATTCTACCTTATAAACAACAGCAAGATGATTCATGGAAGGAATCTTTAGTCTTCACCTCTTCTTACTGGGTGTAATTCATAGACTCTAATGGGTGCAAATTTAGTGTCTATGGGAACATGGTAACTCTGATTACTTCCATGTATGACAGCCACAGAGTCTACACTCTAGATACCCTGTTCAGTGACCTGTGTCCCCTGAACACACATATGCACACACACACGCCACGTGTGAACAGAATGGCTCTCCATCAGACTAAGTAGCACAGCCAAGAAACTGCTTACCTGATACCAACAATATGCCCTTCCAGAAAATAAAATTGAATCAAACTAGAAAATAGAACCATTTCTAAAATCCCAACAATAAATATAAGTTGAAGTGAGTTGAACACATTGCAGTAATCACAAATATCATGTGCTTATTTCCCAGGAAAACCCAACATGCATTATATGGGCAAATGCCATTAATAATCACACAGCTGAACACCAGCAATTTGGTCTCCACGGCAACAGAAGGTAATATTATGTCACTGTTCTTTGATGGGTTTTTTATTATTTCAATATTTGAAAAGTTATTTTTCAAGATGATAGAAAGTATCAAATGTATTCTATTATGCGTAACATTGGAGATAGAAAATGTGGGGTTTGGAATATTCCTTTGGTCCTGCTCATTTTTCAGGGAGAAAAGAGGAAGACGCTGGCGGGGAGACAGACTGATATTTTGGGGAATGATCATAATATCCAGCTCTCCTGTAATTTCTAGAATTGCTAAGCCTGGAACCTGCCCCCAGCAGCTTTCACCCCAGAGGACTGATTCCTGCTTTCAGACATTTTACAAAGCCCAGCAGGGACCAATCAATACCCGGAGCTCTAGTAAACACATGTGCTGGAGATAAGCAGTTAACAGAAACTATTACATGTATAACAGCTTATGGAAGGCTGACCTTGTGCCTTGCACTCTCTCATATATGTTAATATATTAATTCACTAACTTCTCATCTCAAACTTATGGATTTCCCCTATTAATGTTACCTCTATTTTACAGATGAGTTTAACTCGGGTATAGAGGAGAGAAGTTACTTGCCTAAAATCACAGACACACATACTCACCCATGCTCATGTGCATAAAGTAGCAGAGTGGAGAATATAACATAAGCAATCTGGAGCCAAGTCCACGGTGGCTGCCGCAGGCGCTCAAGCAGGTATATGATTTGGAATGCTTGGGCTGCCCAAAGATGACAGTTACAACAGGGACCTTCTGGCTTATGGCTGGGCCATCATTATAGCTTGGGATCTGGAAAAGACCTCCTGTTTCTTTTAGACTTGTATTCTTTCAAACACAGTTCAAATGTCACTCCCATCAGCAGCAAGTGCCTCACTTGCCTCTGGAAAAGCCCTGCTGTGTCCAGCTGCTAGTGAGAGCCCACAGCCTCCTCACTGAGCCTGTGGACTCGGGAGCGACACTGCCCGGGCTGGCATTCCAGGCTGCTGCTCACCAGCTGGCTCCCTGGTTTTCTGTGCATTGGTTTGCTTATCTTAAAAATAACACTAATAACAACCTAGTTCATATGGTATCATTATAATTAAATGAGAAATAAATGAAAAGAACTTACAAGTGCATTTGGCCCATCAGGGATGACAAGGTGGTAGTGCTGAGGATGAAAATAAGCTATGTGGGTTCACCTCTACCCCACACGACTTCCAGAAAATGAATTCCCAAGCCCTCCATTCAAATAGGTAGTGTGGGTTTCAGCTCATAGTTTACAAGAAATGAGGAAATAGAACAATAGCAATAGCAATAAGGACCAGCATATATACAGATGTTTAAAGGTTCCACTAAAAAGCGGGGAGAGGAGGGGAGGGGCAACTGCTTCAGCCAACAGTGAGAAACAGAGACGTTTACATCCCCATTTGAAATAGCTAAACATAAACTTGGTCTCTGTTTCTCACTGCTGGCTGTGTAAGGGGAAGATAAGGAGAGAGATGCCTGGTGCATATGGCTGACCTTTGAATAATTCAGGGGTTAGACCCCCCTAAGGTGCAGTCTAAAATCCACTTATAACTTGACTCCCCAAAACTTAACTATTAATAACCTACTGTTGACTGGAAGCCTTACTGAAGTCACAAACAGTAGGTTGACATATATTCTGTATATATGTATTGTATACTGTATTCTTACAATAAAGTAAGCTAGAGAAAAGGAAAATTTTTTTCAAATTGTCACAAATCTCCACTTTTCCAATAGATTTATTTTTTTTAAATCCAGGTATAAGTGGACCGGCAGTTCAAACCTGTGTGGTTCATGGGTCAACTGTAAATACGACGGCAAAACAAGGGTGAAACAGCAAATCACCTGCCCTACTTCTTTAAACTCATCACAATTTTAACTTATGACCTATTGACATAAGTATTCATTTAATATATATAAACCTCCAACCATCCCCCCACTCCAGCATCCTCCTTGTCCAGGACGGTAGGACATGTATCTTAAGTGCTGCAATTTCACCAACTATGAACACAGTCCAGAAATACAGCAAGGTGACCGAGTCGCTGATGACGCTACAGAAGAAAGGGAAGTGTTACTGTTACTTCACTAACCAGGGGGGCCTGAGCCTCAGAAGTGTCACCGACTTACTGCTCAAGGACAAAAGCTAGTGAGTGGCACAGTCCAACTTAAACAAGGAGTTCTTTACTCCAGGTCCAGCGCATTCCTAAGAGCCAGAAAATAAAATGATTTTTTTTCAGTGATATATATATTAACCTAGCACTGAAAATGTAATACAGCCAAATCTGTAACTTCTCAATGAACAGTTATACCCAGATTCTAGTTTATATTTTCTCAGATGGAGCAATTGTGAAAGCAGACAGGCTCGTGGGGCATTTCTGCTGTATTTAGGAGAAAGAAACACTATACAAGCCGCAGGTGGGGGCCAAGCAAAGGGCTGGGCGGGGTGCAGCAGTGTGGGAGGCTGCTCTCAAGGACTCGAGGCTCTGCACACTGTGGACTCGCTCCTTCCACAGGCAGGTTCCCAGGTTAGGCACGGGGGTGTCAGACAGAGTCTGCCGCACTGGGTCTCCTCTGCAGTTTCCTACGTGGTGACTCAAGTCAAGTCCATTCACCTCTCTGAGCTTCCGTTTCCTTGTGTCCAAAATACAGATGATGACATTTAGCTCAGAGGGTTGTCATGAACATGAAATGGGAGAAAGTACAGAGAGACCGGGAGCCATGGGACAAGAGCTATTCACCTCTGGTCCACTGCTGGGGCATCTGTTGTCTGGAGCTGCGCAGTGAAGAACAGTGACTGAGCCCCGCCCGTGCAGCCCAGGAGCTTTGAGTCTGGTGAGAGCCAGCCTAGAGAACAAGCTGTGACAATGAAATACAAAGGTTGCCATGATAAGTGTGAGCAAGAGGATATTTGGGGCCCTGAGAAGAGATTCTCACCCCAGCTTGTGGTCAGAAGAGAGAGTGGGAACTGGTGGAACTGGTAGACTTTTGGAGGTAAGAAAGCTGCAATCAACAAAGCCTCACAGAACAGACAGAGGCACAGAGGTCTGAGCTTGTGCTGCCTTCTTCACAGACACGGAACAGCCGCTGGTTGAGCCAGGGATGCGACCGAGCTCTAGCTGTAGTAGAGCCCTTTCTGTGTGCATCGTCTCCAGCTCAAAGAGGTGACGAGCCCAAGGACTAGAGTGACAAATTCTTGGTTTGAACATAAGTGTGTCCAGGTCCCAAGTCTGTACCTTGTGGTGCATTCCAGGAGACCTCTACTGGAGGGTACATCACAGTCTCCTGGGGAGATATTTAAACTACCGCTGTCTAAACTTTATTCTAGCCGGGCTGAACTGAAATCTCTGGGAGTAAGGTTCACATATGCATAATAAAAAAAAAAGGCTCCCCAGGAGATTCTGATGTGTCCTTCTGGTTAATAACTCTGCAGGGGGAGCCCCAGGAAAGGCTCTCTGCTTGTGGCCCAGTACCACGTTCAAGGTTGTTTACACCAATGAGCTACTAAGAAGTGCGCATCTGATGGACTTGTGCCGTCTATACCACAGCTGAGAAGCTGTGACGCTTGACAGGCATATGATGGGGTGGGTAATAACCTGAGGTTGACCTGGTGGTTTGACAGGCCGAGCTGAACAACTGACTCCCTGAGCCAGCTTCCTGGGGGTGTATGGCATACAGGGCAGTCTTTACGTTGCTTAGCTGAATTTCTCATTCTTCCTCTTAACTGCAAGTACACTTCAGTGAAAAAGAAGGAAGGAGGGGAGAGGGAAGCTGGGCTTGCAAGAGCTGCCTGCATTGCAGCAAGAGGCCCTCGTGGACCTCCTGGCTCCCAGGATTCTCCCCAGCCGCCTGCCTGCAGCGTGCGCTCTTCCTGGGCCAGCAAACATCTTAGACCGAGGAGAGAAGCAGGGGCCTTAGGGAACTCGGTGGGCACTGTCCTGCTAGTTTGCTAATTGGGTTCAAAACAGAACGTAGCTACATGTGTGGGGACTGCTTCATCTCTCCTGAAAATAAAACCAAAAGTGCCTACATAAGCACTCACAGGTCTGTGCATGTGCACACTCACACAGACATCAACAACACTGTCACCAAAAAGCCACCCGTCAGCTGCTGGGTGTTTTCATTATTGGGAGAAGTCACTTAAAGCAGGGTCACTGGGTTCAGATCCTATGTGTTTTCTCCCTTGATTACACCTGCTGTATCTTGGTCTTTGGCACAGACCTTCTTTCCTCCGCATGGAACCTGCTAGAAACTGAGCCTAAACGAACCACCACCAAGGACATCTGGGCCTGACATTGGAGACCTTCCATGTTGTGGCCCATCTTCCACTGAACCCCACCACACATCCTAGATCTCAAGACCACACCACAGTCCCTAAACAGGTTTTACACATCAGACTTCTAGTCTTTGATAAATACGAGTGTTTTTCTCCATCGACCCCTAGTTATAGTCAGGATAGGTTAGACAGTGCTGTAGTAACAACTAACCCTGAAGTCTAAGTGCATAACACTATGGAAGCTCAGTTATCACTTATGCAAAGGCCACTGTGGGTGATCAGTTTCTGTGGGCCGTTTTCCTCAAAGCAGGGACTCAGGGGCCCGGGGCCCATCCATCTGGTGACGCTCCCACCTTTAACATGTGCTCTTCAAAGGCACCACAGAATGAATGGAAAGCCTGGAGTGTCATGCAAAATATTTTTAAGGATCAAGCCTTATGTATTCCACTGATCAGAACCCAGGCACATGGCCCCAGACTAACTGCGAGGGAGACCTGGAAACACATCTTCAAATGTGCACATTAGGAGGAAACGGGATTGGTGAGCATACCACCATCTCTGCCACCACTGTCACTCTGACCACCAACTGTCCCACTCTTCTTTCCACATGCGGAACACCTTCAGGCAAGGGGAACAACTGTACTCTCAGATCCTCATGGCTTCATATGCCAAGTGTAGAATTCGTGAGTGATGGGAGGTGGTACTGACATTAGGTCTGGGTGTGGCTCTTCTTAGTCCCACAAACAAAGACCTAAAATATACATTAACTGCCCTTCACAATGTACATGGTAAAAATGGGGGGGGGGCCACTGACATGGACACGCCTATTAGCAATGAAGCAGAGTGGGGGACACACAGCAGACAAAGGCTTTTAGCGATCCTGAAACCCTGCTAGGCAATGTGAAGACCCTCTGGCTGGGTGGGATAAAGGTTTCCTGATGGGAAACAAATTCTTCTACGGGCTGGAACTCCTCGGGCCATTCCCCTGGATCTTGGTGACCCATGGCTCTTCTGGGAGGCTGAGGCGGCAATCGGGAACACAGTCCCTTCAGACACAGAACAGCCAAGCCTGTCTCTTGCTCTACAGGGCTGGAGGCCCACAGTTCGGATCAGCGTGCACAGCCAGTCTTGTAGTCCAAGCTTGTAGCTTCTTCAACAGTAAGAACTTCTTAAAAATGTCACCAAAAAGCCACCCGTCAGCTGCTGGGTGTTTTCATTATTGGGAGAAGTCACTTAAAGCAGGGTCACTGGGTTCAGATCCTATGTGTTTTCTCCCTTGATTACACCTGCTGTATCTTGGTCTTTGGCACAGACCTTCTTTCCTCCGCATGGAACCTGCTAGAAACTGAGCCTAAACGAACCACCACCAAGGACATCTGGGCCTGACATTGGAGACCTTCCATGTTGTGGCCCATCTTCCACTGAACCCCACCACACATCCTAGATCTCAAGACCACACCACAGTCCCTAAACAGGTTTTACACATCAGACTTCTAGTCTTTGATAAATACGAGTGTTTTTCTCCATCGACCCCTAGTTATAGTCAGGATAGGTTAGACAGTGCTGTAGTAACAACTAACCCTGAAGTCTCAGTGCATAACACTATGGAAGCTCAGTTATCACTTATGCAAAGGCCACTGTGGGTGATCAGTTTCTGTGGGCCGTTTTCCTCAAAGCAGGGACTCAGGGGCCCGGGGCCCATCCATCTGGTGACGCTCCCACCTTTAACATGTGCTCTTCAAAGGCACCACAGAATGAATGGAAAGCCTGGAGTGTCATGCAAAATATTTTTAAGGATCAAGCCTTATGTATTCCACTGATCAGAACCCAGGCACATGGCCCCAGACTAACTGCGAGGGAGACCTGGAAACACATCTTCAAATGTGCACATTAGGAGGAAACGGGATTGGTGAGCATACCACCATCTCTGCCACCACTGTCACTCTGACCACCAACTGTCCCACTCTTCTTTCCACATGCGGAACACCTTCAGGCAAGGGGAACAACTGTACTCTCAGATCCTCATGGCTTCATATGCCAAGTGTAGAATTCGTGAGTGATGGGAGGTGGTACTGACATTAGGTCTGGGTGTGGCTCTTCTTAGTCCCACAAACAAAGACCTAAAATATACATTAACTGCCCTTCACAATGTACATGGTAAAAATGGGGGGGGGGGCCACTGACATGGACACGCCTATTAGCAATGAAGCAGAGTGGGGGACACACAGCAGACAAAGGCTTTTAGCGATCCTGAAACCCTGCTAGGCAATGTGAAGACCCTCTGGCTGGGTGGGATAAAGGTTTCCTGATGGGAAACAAATTCTTCTACGGGCTGGAACTCCTCGGGCCATTCCCCTGGATCTTGGTGACCCATGGCTCTTCTGGGAGGCTGAGGCGGCAATCGGGAACACAGTCCCTTCAGACACAGAACAGCCAAGCCTGTCTCTTGCTCTACAGGGCTGGAGGCCCACAGTTCGGATCAGCGTGCACAGCCAGTCTTGTAGTCCAAGCTTGTAGCTTCTTCAACAGTAAGAACTTCTTAAAAATTTAGAAGCTGTCAATCTATTTGTTTCTAGGCTCTTCTAGGTGCTCTGAGATCTGCACATTTCTTTGCTTTTCTGCCTCCAGGTCTCTCTATAGAAACAAAAGGGAGGCTGACTTGCAACTTTCTGGGTCAGTATGTAGACGAGTTAGGGCATTCGTGACTTTTGTCCTGAGTTACCATCACTTTATTCAACTGAGAACTTTTCCTGGGCTCTGTCAAAGTTTTTTGTTGTTTGCTTGCTTGCTTTCATTGTTGTTTTTTAAATAGTAGCCTTAATGTTTGTGCTCAGAAACAGGCTTTTCCAACTTTGCCAGTCCCCAGATTTTTGCACAGACTTTCCTGTCTGTTTGAAAGACAGCTAATGCTCCCCAGAGCTCACTTGTTTCTTCGCAAACGTCACCAAACACAACCCCAAGGGTCCATGGACACACTCCTGGTTTCCATCCTCTTCCCCCAGCCTAGTGGTTTTCAAGCAGGGTGACTTTGCCTCCCAGGGAACATCCATCAATGTCTAGAGATATCTTCGGTTGTCACAACCGAGATGGAGATACTATTGGCATCTTACGGGTAGAGCACAGAGATGCTGCTAAGCTCCCCGTAATGTGCAGGACAGCCCCCATAGCGAAGCATTGTTTCCAAATGTCCCCAAATATTCCAAAATGTCAACAGTGCTGAGGCTGAGAACCCTGCCCTGGGGACACAGGTTGCAGGCCTGTTGACTGTCTTCCAAGTTCCCAGAGGTGACAATTCACCAAATGGCCTGCTACTGTGCAACACAGATCCTCATACACCCATCTTCTGATTACAAATTCCCCATTTCTAGATTCCTGATTCTAAGGTCAATGCCGTTCCTTTCAGTTTTCTGTTATGGCTGTCCCACACAAACACAGTTTTCTTAATTAATACTAACTGCTGCAACAACCCCAAAATCTGTTTCTTAAGATTATTTTTTTCCTGTTTTCCCAAAGTCTGATACAGGTCAGTGGATCCCCTGGGGGCCCTCCTGCAGGTCCAGGTTCCCCTGTTTGTGCCACTGTCATCTTAAACATGTGACTTCTGGGGCCACCCCTGCAGGGACAGAAAGCGCTGAGGACCAAGCAGGGTGCTGGCGAGGAAGGCGAGGAGGAAGCACATTCACTTCTGTTCCCGCTGTGCTGGCCGGGACCTGGTCTCAGGGCCAAGCGTGACCGCAAGCGTGGCTGGAAAATGTATCCTCGGGTGTGCCTGAGCTGAACCGATGGAACTGGGGAGCATCTCCTAGTCTCTTCCATACCCACCCCACCCAGACTCCAAGGTCTCACTCCTGACGTAGCCCATCTGCATGGGGTGGCCTCTGCGGGGGTCATATAGTGGACACTGGGGGAAACCCGTTCTAGAATCCTGAAATCCTGGCTCCCACATCCGAGACCTTCCACTCAGACTCCCTTTCTGACATCAAGTCACCCACCGGGGAACACTTGCCCAGCTAATAGAAAGGCAGAACCCAGTGAATTACCAGTATTTTGGACAAAGTTAGCTGCAGGCCCATGGCACTCAGCAAGAACCACCTCAGAGGGTTTGGCCCCCACAAGTCCACGAAGGGGAAAACACTTTGTGTTCAGAGCTTGTTGTCAAAGCACACAACCCTGACCACATGTGACAGTTGTTGGCTCGACCACCGCAGCCAGTGCCCCGTGGGTGGGGCTGTCCTCCCAGTCGCTTGTCACTGGTATCACACTAGTCAAGGCATCCTGAAACCTCCTCCCAGAGGCCCTCCTCTCTCCTCACATATGCCTGGAACGCATGGCGGACCATCCGTATTACAGACCAAGGCCACGATCAACCCAGCATGCCAGGCTTAAATCACCCAACCACCTCTGCTCCGGTGAAGGGCCACTGCGTTCTTAGGCCACCTGCTGCCCCTGCTTTCAGTCACTCAGTTGACTTTCCTTATGAGGCCATTTCTCAAAAGTGACAAATCCTCTTGCTGGAGTAACTGCATGTGGGACAGTGCCTGAGACCAGTGAGGCTGGGCCAGGATGCGGCTGCTGGAAGACCGGCTGCCAGGCTGCTGTGAGGACAGCAGCACCAGCTCGGGTTTACGGGGCCCAAACTCCCTGCCAGGAACCATGTGGGCGCTCCACACCCGTGCCGCTCTTGCTCACCGGTCACCCGAGAGGGCAGCCCTGCTGCCCTTCACACACAGTGTGCAGGATCCTGCAGGCCACGGCCCCACCTGGCCGCAGCCTCACGCAGCCGCCTCC